AGAAGAATAACATTAAATGATTTACCTCTGTGAAGATGCCGCTGCTGTCCCATTTCTTGACAAAATGTTGTAATTTCTTTGGTTTGAGATAAGAGGGAAGAACCATGGGGGAAAGGCAGGAGAGCAAAGACTGGACCACATTCTACAGATGCCCCAGAAAAAGTGAGTGAACAAAGTGTGCCTATGCCAGAAAAAACACCCAGTGTGGAAACACCCACCAACACTTGTAGTTGTAATGCCATATTGCTAACTGTCCAGGAAAAAACACAACCAGCCCGCATTGTGTTTGTGCTTGATATGAATCAGGAAGTGAAACTTCAATTCACTGACAATTCTGCTCCCAGATCAAAGAGTGCCCTGGATTTCCAGCCCATCTTTGTGGTCCCAGAAGACCATGCCTCAAATGCAGCCTATGCACATTAAAACCTACGCAAGTAGACCCAGCTCGCACAATTGGTCACCAGCTTTTATTGGGAAAACCATCAGTGCACAGTGTCTCTGTATGTTTCATCTGTTAAGCACACAGGTCATATTTGGATGCAACACACTTATGGATCTGTCAGAGGATATCCAAGGTAGGGCAGGCCCACCAAGTGACGTGGGAGGGCAAGTGCAAGCCCACTTTCCTTTGCACATTATGGACTAGATGGAGGAGACCCCTTGGGCTGGGCAGCCATTTATTTCATTTCATTTCATTTCTGTACTACCCAAGCACCAAAGTTCAGTGAGCAGTTCATAAAAATTAAAACACATCATAATGGGAACACAGGGCACATTATAACAAATGAAAACAGCGAAAAAACAGTTAACTATGTAGTACTAGGACCTGATAAACCAGCTGATATTAAACCTCCATGATGGGGCATGACCTCCCATCTAGAGGAACATCTTAAACTGGCTCCTGTTGGGAAGCCTCAATGGCAGCCGCAACAAAGATAATCAGGTTCAGTCAGGAAAGACCCCTTTCGCCTTGAACCTCAGTAGTGTTATTGAAAGATCACCCAGGACCCCTGCAGTTACTTACAACAGCATGCTACTGGTAGTGGTTCTCACCGCCAACTACAAAATCACAGCTTATGAACAGACACTAAAGCCATCCTGATATCTTTAGGCATGACATAATATTCTAAACCGATCAGAAATACTGATAACAATATTATGGAAAACATTACTGATTGCTTTATTGACTTGTCAATGGAGCAGATCTCTCTGCAGTTTGGATCCTGTTTAAACATGCAAATATATCTGATTGAGGTACCATTCAGGAAATCTGGTTTGACAACTACACTGTGCAGGCACTTGCCTCAGTGGGACTAGATGCTTAGGTGGGCCCATTCAGAAACAAATGGACACCACTTTCAGATTTTCTGCAGCTGATGAGAACACAGGTATTTCCTCACTGATCCTGTTAGTCTACAGCAGCTTCTCAGTCCAGCTAAGAATCCCATCTTCTTAAAGTAACAGCAGCACTAAACAGTGACCCGGCTTGGAATGCCAGTGCCTTCTGAGAAAGGGGTATAGGTTTGATTTATAACACAAAGGCACACATAAGCAACCCTTTTCTGCCAGGATTTATCTGAATATTCCCAACGCTCCATACAGGGAGCAATGTTGGCACCACACAGGCCTCATTAGGCAGAAGTTTCCTTAACTGGGGGCTTACCACCAAGAAGGTCCTCATCCTTGTTTTTATTTGTTTCTACACTGCCCATAGCTGGTATACAACTGGAAGGTATATAGCAACTCCCAGTCATCCTTCCAGAATCTTTTTAAGGAGGCACCCAGAGGAGGGCCTCAAATGTTGATGTTCATGCGGGGAGAGGTGATCCATCAGATGCTTGCAGTCCTATGCCTTGTAAGGCTTCCAGGTAAAGACCAGAATCTTGAACCAGGCTTGGAATATACAGGCAGGCCATGCAAGTGGTTAAAATTGGTGTTCTGTGCTCAGATCTTCTGGTTCTAGCACTCTGGCTGCTGCATTTTGCACATGCTGCAGTTTCCAAATCATCCTGGGGGCAAACCCACATGGATCAGCCACTAATGTCTTCAGATCTTTCTGCTGCTAAAGGCACAGGAGCAGGGGCCAGTAAAAAAAAGTTGGTAACCTTGAGTAGTATGGTGAGCCACTGTGCTTAACTGTTGCCCAGGAACAAAGATTGCACCGGTATATCTTCTCCACCCTTGTTGTGCCTTCACCTATATAAATCCTGCCTGGGAGCCTTCACACACGCCTGGCAGGAAATTTTGCTCCAGAAAGGGAGATGACTGTACATAATCACAGAGGGAAGCTGGACAGAAAGAATCTACACATAGCACCTCCGGGGTGAACCTGGGCAAGTCCAGGCATCCACCCTCCCAGCCCCCTCACTGTGGTTTAACCTGCTGGCTCCTATTCCCTCTTCTCGGTCCACTCAAAAGTCCAGACTTCCAGACTCCTTGCGCTCACCCACTAGGCTCTGCTTCTTCCCTTCACAACACTGAGGCAGCTGAGGCAGGATGGGGCATGCCAGGCACCCTGCGAGACAGGCCTGCCAGGGGGATCTTTCTCTCCCTCTGGCAGCTGGGGTGGAGAAGGCCCATGGAATGCAGTTCGACTGCTTTGCAGGGTGTGCGGGGAGCCAGCCCTGACACGCGCCCCCAGCCACTTGGCTCGTGGCTTTCCTCACGCCAGGACTGGGTGGTGCTGCTCCCCTTAACCTCTGCGGTGCTGGAACCTTCCAGCACTTCAGATTATCATTCCCAGGGGCCAATTCCACAGCCAGTATGAGTTAGCAGGGAAGGAACACTCGACCCCTCTCCCAGGTCTGCTAACTAGCAACACATACTTTTCTTTTTAATTTAATTAAAACATGTATATGCTGTCCTTTGCAGCAGCCTCAGGATGGCTTACAAAAATAAAAATGACAATATAAATAATAATATATTATAAATAGCATTCAAAACATTCCACAATAAAACAAATTAACAACAATATATCCTCTCCTAATTAAAGAAAAGAAAAAAATAAAAGATGCAGCATAAGGAGACAGAGCAATGAAGCAGGAGGATGTCCCCAGACAGCTATTTATTTGCCTGGCACTTACTAGATGAGTCAGCTGATCACTTTGGGTCACAATCCTGTTGGCTGTAATATGAGGACAGAGATCCTGTCCTACCTTACAGGGTTGATAGAAGAAATACAAGGTCATGCATGGGCAACATTTTAAAGATTCAGAATTACAGACTAAATATTATGTCCTCCATATTTCTTCCTGTTTGAGTCAGTGTAGCACAGTGGTGAGAGTGCTCGACCAGGGACCTGGGTGATCCCGGTTCTAGTCCCCACTCAGCCATGGAGCCAATTGGGTGACTTTGGGCCAGTCACTCACTCTCAGCCCAGCCTGTCACACAGGGTTGTTGTTGTGAGGATAAAATGGAGCCTGCAAGCCTTTCTGGATTCCTCACAAGGGGTGGGGGGGAGCTGGATATAAATGCAATAATAATACCTAGTTATACCAACTTCCCAAACTACAAGTTCCCCTTTAAGCATCCTATATGATAGCCCAGTGTCTATTACCTCCTCCACATTCTCCATTGCAGAAGCCTCCCCACTCCCTTGCCCCCTCATCAAATGGAAGCACCCCAGCCTTTTCCTCAGGGTTCAGCCCTGACCTGGAATATTTGCTCATTACATGGTTCCTCACAGCCCTCTTTAGGAGACATTCCCTTGTCCCTAGGCAAGCTCCAGAACTATTCAGATTTTGGTTTGGCAATGCTCACATCTCCTCCCCATCACATTTTCACAAACTTGATCCATCCTGAGGTTTGACCTGATGTCGACTCCCAGTCCTTCACTCATCCCGCGAGGCACTCCTAAGAGCAGACCTGGGCATGGTACGGCCCGCGGGCCACATCCGGCCCGAAGGCTGACCCTGACTGGCCCACATGAGGTCACTGGCAAATTAAAAGTCAATGCAAATATATATCATCGTAATATAGATGCTTACTATGTTAAGCGCTGGGAGAGTACATATGTTGTAAATTTGCGCTATGTAAGTAAAATTGAATTGAATTTATTGCTTTTCATGTAATGTTAATGTTTTTGTGAATATTCATTAGTGTTGTTCTGTACTCTACATTTTCATTGTATCATTGTAATGATTCATTTACTGTTTTTATAGAGATATATATTGATCAGAGCTGTAAGTGTAGTGGTCTGGCCCTTAACAACTGTCAAAGTTTCTCATGTGGCCCCATAGGAAAATTAATTACCCACCCCTGCCTAAGAGTGTCTTCGCCCCCAGCCTTTCTTCCCTCCATGCTTATAGATTTGATTAATCGGCACAACCATTTAAAAAGCTGGGTCGCTTTTCTTGCCCCATGCACTGCGATGACCTATGACCTACAAACCAGCAATAAAATGAATATAGCATGCATTTAAAAAAGACCCCGGCTCACTAAGAAGCAAATGAGAGCCCTCCCCCATTTAAGCTCAGCTCAGGCTTAAATGTCTTCCATCGACTTGCTTCCATCGTTTGCTTTCCAAACGGTCCTCGCAACGGGACCTCTAAACGCAAATCGGACCACCTTGCCATAGCACCACCCCTCCGCCCTCAGCCCCTCCCCTCTGCGCTTTCGGAGGCACTGCACGCTCCCCCCTACCCACAAGGGCGTGACGCGGCGCGCGTGCGCTCTAGCCCTAAGGGGGCTACCGGGAGAAGAGAAAGGGAGAGTTAAGATTGGCCAATCGTGGCTCCGCCCCTCCAGAGGCGCAGTCCAAAAGTTCAAGAAGGGATGCTGCAGGCGATGCACGAGCATTAAACTTCGCAAAAGAACAACCTGGTAGTGGGATCCAGGAAATTGGTGGCCCCCCACTCCTTTCTCCAGAGAAAAGGGGTGCGTTTAACGGTACGCTCGGAGTTCCCTTTCCCTGGAGCAGGGCGAGATTCCCAAGTCAGCTATTTAGATTCGGGGTGTCCCGTGGATGACCATATTTGCAGCTAATTTAATCTTCCAAGACGAATAGCGCCTGCAGCAGTCCTTCTGTGTGGACCTCTCCCCCCAGCAGTGATGGCCCTGGCTGATTTTCGCTACACCACCGGCATCAGCAGCGGATTCAAAGTCTATATCTTGGAAGGTGAGTCCCAGAAATCCTTCCCCGCTCGCCAGCCCCATAGTGCTGGCTTGCTAAGTGTCAGCGCTGCATTCAGAATTGGTAACGAGGTGGAGGCAAGGATTGCTGTCCAGGAGGTCTCAACTCCTTGGGAGGCAAAGGACAGTGACGGGTAGTGGCTCAGGTGAGTGCAGATTCTTGCACTGATTGCCCAGGCCCTGCAGATAGATCATTTCTGAAAACGAGAAGGGCCACACATGGCTCCCTAATTTTTTGCCATAGCACACCTACAGGAAACACTCTGCAACATGCCCCAGGGCACGAAAAGCCATTGCAGGCTGGGCCATGCACTAGGTCCCGAAGAGGCAGCACCCTGCCCTCCCACCAGTCCTGCTCTGCCAGCAGTGCCCAGCTAGACCAACCCAGTCCACAACCCCCTTCCACTCATATTCGGCTGAGATGTATGGGCTGCATGTGTTGTCTGATGCACTGTCCTGCTTGCCACAATTCCACAATGCCCTGATTTTGATGTTGATTTCCTGCTTCTCCCATCCCATTTGCAGTGGGACTGAATTTTAGATAGCCAACTCTCCGGGCAGAGAGCGATTCACCTGTATTTGCAAAATAGCCTATGTTTTGCTGGATTTCAGCCAGAAAATGCTATGAATCCGCTTTGGGTAGTGAAAGTGCTCTGTCTTATCAGCAGGGAAAATGGGGTTGAGGAAAGAACCCCAACATACAATTCATGTATTGAATCCAGATGTAATTCTATTTAGAGAAGATCCCATTGAAATCTTAACTGAGCTGGCAACAAAGTGTGATATCAGTGGGCCTACTCTAAGGAGTAAATTTTTATTATTTATTTTAGATTTTTATCCTGTCCCATTAGCTGTAAATCTGGATCCAATACAGTGTAAATGCACAAAGGATAGGCATGAAAATGGCAAAGGGTCTGTGACACTTGATGTATTTAATGCACCATAAGCTTTTATGGGCTAGAATGCACATTTTGACAGATTGCCTTCAGCTGGCTTCATGCATCCGATGAAGCTTTTGCTTTGGCAAACCTTTTGTCTTCAAAGTGCAACAACCGAACTTGGGCTAGTTGGTGTTCTGAGCCAAGTGAGAGCTGGCATGAATATGGCACAAGGTTCACCACTAATTAGCTAATCCTGCAAATTCTAAATTCAGGTCCAGATGTGCATCTCCTACACAAGTGGTGTCAAATACCACGCTGTACCTGTTTGAACATGAACCATTAGTCAGTGCTATTGCACCACCACCCACTTCTGTAAGGGCAGGAGGGTTCAGCCCAGAGGGCCAGTCTATCCACTCCAAAAAAAAGGGTGTAATACTGCCTGCCTCAAACTGTTTGGCTTGCTTTAGTCCTTCTTAGAATAGGTGGTGTGGGGGGCACTGTATGTTGGAACAGTCCCCCTTCTTCAAAACCTCAAAATAAGCCCTCCCTACACATAGAAAGCTAGCATGCCAAGCTTGGTTAGGCTCTTCTCAAACATATGCTGTTTTTAGTAAGTGTGTGGTGAACTATTTCAAGTGCTTCTTCTGTATCAGATATAAAACTGGGCACCCAGTCCCGATCAGTGCCCAGCCCTTGCAATTGTAGCAAATGTGAAGGAGCAGCACTGCTGTTTGAAACCCCCTTGGTCCTTGAGGGAGGGTCTCCAGTGACCTGAGAGAGCACAATGATGTCCCTAAACTTCAGCTGAGAAAACTCCTTTTTTCTTGGGGATTCACCAAAGTCTGAGCCTTGGCTGACGATGTCTAACAATGGCAATCATGAAGAAGGCACTTCTACCCAATATGATGGGACTCTCCCTTTCAGAAAAGCAGGTTTTCTGGTCCTTGAAAGATTTCTGGCAGTCTGAAACACTGCCAAGAGGAGATGAGGATGGAAAAGTTGGGTTGGGACCACACCTTTCCAGAGGCATTTCTCCAAATCCGCCTCTCTATAAAGTTCATCTGTGGTATTATCTCCAGGCACAGAAGTTGAGCAAGTGGTTGCCTTGGGCTACATATATTCAGAGCAAAGACAAGATGTGGAAGCAGGCCAGACAAGAACTTTCTAGGTCACCACTCTGCTTCTTACCAATGTGCTACACCAGCTCTTCTGAAAGTTGTGTCAGACTTTCTTATATGGCTATTTTTACCAGCTGGGTTTAAGCATGTAGGGGAAATTATAATGTCAGGTATATGCATATGCATATATGTTTCTGAATTTAAACAAGGTGATTTTTCAGGAAAACCTGCAAAATAGGGTGAATTCACATATTCAGAGTAAGGACAGGAGGCCTTGCAGAGTCAAATCAAATTGGCCATGTGGAAGCCAAGCCAAAGGAAGGGCAGTGTGTCCTGTGTGTTCCATGACTGGTTGAGCCTTTAGAACAAGCCTGTTGAAAAAGAAGTAGAAGAAAGCTCCAGAGGTTCAATGAAGACCAGACTTCAAACAAGCAAAGAACAGCACTTTGAAAAAATAAGGTTTTGTGCACTGTATTGCACTTATTTCCCTTCCCCCTTAGCCTACCAAGCCTTTGTGAGCAAGAGTTTTGTGCAGCATTCTTTCTTAAGAAAAGAATTTTTGGTCTTGAGCTGTGGTTAACTGTCTTGAGGCAGACAAGATTCAAGGAAGTCTCTGGAGAACAGCTGCTATTTGATCGATACCTGTTGAGATAGGCAAGCTGCAGAAAGAGCTCTGCATTCCTTGCCCCACAAAAGTAAATACTTGAATGAATGAAAAATTTGTACCCGTGCAATCCAGATCCTGCATCAAGAAGATATAGGATGCCACTCTATTTATTAAACCTTATTTATTCTGCAATCTTTTTACCTTTTGCATAATTTATTCTGGCTTTTCTAGTCACTGGTATTATTATTATAGAATTAGAGGTGCAGTCTTGTACCCACTTACTTGAGAGGGAATCCCACTTAATTCAATGGGACTTACATCTGAGTAGACATTTATAGATTTCTCTTTCAGCCACCTTCCAGTTTTATTGATTTCACAAGGCATCGCCCCTACCTTTTCAATAATATTTTGATTACCATAAAGTCTAGAAGCTTGCCTTTTAAATTAAAGCAAGTTTGGTGCCTAATGCCTCTTCTTTGCTTTTTCTGTGCTCTTCTGGAATCATGGAACATAGAGTGGCAAAGAGCCTCCCTGATATTTCACAGCTGAACATCAGAGACAGCTGATAAGATCAGTGGGGTCATAATGAGAATCCCAGTCTAAGCCCCCAGCCTGAACTTTCTTAGCTATTGCTCTGCTCCATGCATGGGTAACTCCTGGTCCTGGGTTATATGCAACCCTTTGCTGCTCTCAGTTCCATCTCTGAAGCCATCAAGCATCAGCTGGGTGGTAGGAAAAAGGCCACAGTTTCAATGCAGCTATTAGCAGCACCAGGGTGCTTCCAGAGGAGGCTTTTGTCCTGTAATTGCCCTGCCTCATTTCTGGCATTTTGCTGGAGACTCCCCAGATGATGCCATCTCCCAGCTCTTTTCTTAACTAGGAAAGACAGAAGAGATTCACAAGCCCTTTGCTGTAGTAGCATTAGGAGCCCTCCTTGTGGAATCAAAACAGTGGCCTCGATCAGCACCCCTTGAGGGAGGGCATGGGCTTTAAGCTGCCCCCACCACGGTGATCCCATTCTCTGATCATGTTGGCAAATGTTGCAGCTTCTGCAGTGATCCTGACCTGGACCTTTTTCTATATTGCCAAAGCCGTGACTGAAAGTGAAATGAGGAGCAAGGACAGGGCTTATGTGTGCTTACATGCATGTATGTCTATGTGCACATGTTTCACTGCCCTGCTACTTGACACTGCATGTGACCTTCAGGACCAAAAATCCTGCCTGCCTTTGCTCTAGTCTGTCTGCTGTGGGTGGGAGTGACCTTTTCTGCATTAACTTACCATCCAAGGCAGCATGGTTACATAATTAGCACAAAAACACAGTTGTTGTATGCATCAATTGTATGACATCTGCAGTCCAAAATGGACAGTTCAGCAGGGCACTGTGCATATGAAACAGCCGGCTGTGTGCCAGGCAATGCTTAACATGCCCACATGTGTGCAAGTTGTGTCCCTGCCCCTCTCAGAGACATAGGCTACAACCCTATGGGAGTTAAGCCCCATTCAACGCAGGGACATTTACTTCTGAGCAGACATGCAAGGGATTGCCGTGTTTGAAAGACCCTGATTGCTGTCCCTTTTAGAGACCCCGAGAAGGGAGACAAACCCTAAAGACTGATGATGTGTGCATCTCATGGTGCCATTTTTTTTTAATGCCATGGTTAGGCACAAATAGGAAAACAGCAGTGAAAGTTATTTTGAGCCAGAGTAGAGAAAACAGGTGCTCTTCTTGATAAATAAGCATGGTTAGGATGTATGCACAAGCACCTTATGTTACATAACCTGATCTTCACCCACTGCACCACAATATTTATTTCCGGCACAACCAATTAAACACCTAAAGTTCAAAGCAGTGAGAACAGAAAGCACAGATTGTCTTTGGCAGTGATGAAGTTAAATGTTGCATAATGTAAAATTCAGCTATATTTCAAACTCTGTGGGTTTGATACAGATCTGTTGTTTGGTTAAAGGACGCTGGTTTCTAAACAGGACTTCTGCATCCTCTCCTCCTCACAATGAGTTCCTTGTGTATTCCCCACGGGTGCTCAGGTGCCCACCGTGCAATGCTCCCAAGCAGATTTGGAGGGTGCATTGCTGGTGGGGGCTGCAAAGGGGATGTTGAAAGACCCTGAACACACACACACGCACGCACGCACGCATGCACAGCGAGAGAGTTTGAGAGAGAGAGAGAGATTTAGCCTATCTCCGCTTTCCCCCACCTAGTGCCTTCCAGATGTTCTGGACTACATTATTCACAGCTTCCCTGACCATTGGTCACACTGGTTGGAGCTCATGGGAGTTGAAGTCCAGAAGATCCTTTATGGTTCTCATGCTTTATCCTAAGCTGCAGTGTCTCCCTGAACTGGAAAACAAATCTGTTGTCTCAAACCTGCCCCCAACTCCACCCCAGCTGCCAAATTTGTATATTTAATTCCTATACCACTCAACAGCTGAAGCTCTCTAAGTAGTTCACAAAAGCATACTTAAAAAAACAATATAAAATATACCATTAAAGCATCATAAAAGTTAGGATTCAAAATTTTAAACCAGATAAATATAGAAAAACAACATTATAAGTTAAGAAGGCCTTATTAAACCTGTCCAATAACCACCAAGCCCTGGCAACTAACTGAAATGTCCTTCAGTTGAGGATGGTTATTATGAGGTAGCAAAAAAAATAGTAAGTTGGCTCCTGGCAGGCCTCAGTGGGGAGCTCATTCCATAACTGGAGGGCCACCACTGAAAAGGCTCTTTCTCCCTCAGAGAAAGGTCTGAGAACTTGACTGTAGTGTCCAGGTAGATGAAGGTCAGGAGAGGCATTCCATCAGGTATCATGGTCCCAAGCCAAGTCGCCAACATAGATATCTGATTTTCAGGTCAACCCTCTCTTGAGAATGAGCAGAGGTTCCACCGTCTCCCAACCCATCGGTTGCCTGCCTACACAGTCAGACGCAAGCTCAGCATGGATGTGAAAAGCCTGGATGCCAGCTTGGAGGGGCTGAAGATGCCCAAGATCTGGCGAGCAGCATGTGGACCTTCAGCAACGTGAGTGATGTTGAGGCACACTAGGGGGCGCTGTTCTCCAGGAAACTGTTTTAGCCTGTTTCCTTTCAGGGCAGGAGCCAGTTAAGGGGGGGGATGTTCTTGGGCAGGACCCCTCCAGTGGGGAGCCTTCATCTCATGGGATCCCCCATCTCATGGAATCCCCCATCTCATGGGATGGTTGGCACCTGCTTGCTTGACAGGCAGGGAACCAACAGGCAAATAGAAAGGGCATCAGCTGCTCCTCTTCCTCTCCACCACCTGGTGGCTTGCAGTGGTGCAGAGGAGGAGCAGGTCTGCTAGGTGCCCTGTCAGGGCCCTTGGCAGGTGCCTGGCTACACCATCCCTCGAAGCTGGCCCTGCTGCACGATGCTTCTGTGGCACACTCAGATCCTTCGTGCACACTGTGCTGTGCAACAACCATGTAAAATGGGCCAGTATCAATAACTGCAAAGGGAAACTGGCTAAGCAAGGCTGGGGAGCAGCAAAGTGAGAGTGCAGGAGAGTTCTTCACTGTTTGCTCTGTCTTTTAGCCATGATCCCAGCAGCAGCTCCACAGAAGGGAATGAAAGGTGGCATTTGGACCTGTAGTGTGCCAGGCTGGATCCTCTGTGAATGGAGGGGATGGAGACCAAGGGCTGCTCCTGGGAGTTGCAGAAGTCATTAATGGCCCCTGTTGAGCTGCTATCTACCATGCTCCAGTACCTTTACGGAATCATTGGGAACTGTGGAAACTGCCTCTATCCAGTCAGAGCCTTGGTCCATCTAGCTGACCAAGGGGCTGTCCAGGATTTCAGCCAAGAGCCAGGAATTGCATACAGCTTGAATTTAGAGATCACGATTTGCCTGCATCTCTTCCAGTGAGCTTATAAGCAAATCCTGAAAAGCCCAGTTTGTTTGTTTGTTTGTTTGTTTGTTTATTTAAAACATTTCTGTGCCACCTCCACTGCAACAAAGCCTCGGGGCGGCTCACAAAGAATACATAAATACATACATAATGATAATATAACAATTTTAAAAAATCGTTTAAAAACACCCGGTGCATTCTCGGCTAAACATTTTAAAATCCTAATTAATTCAATAATTTAACAATTAAAATAAGTTTTAAATAAAAAGGTCTTAGCCTGGCGCCGAAAAACAAATAATGATATAAATATAGGTTTATACTCATGCATCCACTTCGAAGCCCCTAGTGTTCGCACAGTAAATACTGGGGGGGGGGGGGGAATTCACAGATGAACAGGGAGCAAAAGTGGGAGAGAAAACTCACCGCTCTTATCACCTTTTCTTCAAACACAACATTTCTGACTATATTCTTAATAGAAAATGGTTTTGCAAAGTAGGCATTTGTTGATTGTCTTTAGTTAGGGTGGCCAGTTGTCCTGCTTAACAGAGAATGGTCCTCTATTTGAAGGACTAGCAGAGGACTGTCCTCAGTTTGAACAGGTTCCCTATTTGGAGGTCTGTCCAGTCCAGGACCAATTTAAAGATAAAGCACCCTAAGAAAAGCAAATGGCCTGGAGTTTTCCCTCCACAGCACCTCAGCAGCAAACTGAATGAGCTTCACAGGTTGCTTGTTGTAGTCTCCCCAGTATGGTGAGATGGTTGCATTTCTTTTTCAGCTATGATAATTAACTCTAAATTTTTATTGATACACACATATATTAGCATTTGCAAATATTTTGCAAATCTGCACACTCACTTTGTTTTCTTTCCATGGTATTACATTTCTTTTTGGGTGATGGATAAATGCCACCCAATTAAATGCACATATTTAAATGTGTGTCAGTTGTTGGAAGTTAGCCTTTCTGCTTTAAATCAATCTCTGCTCAAATGGCACAAGGTAAATTTTTAAATTTGGTGCAATACCCACGGGCAAGTCATTAATCTTTCAGTTTCAGTTTCCCTTATATAAAATGAATGAATAACTTATATAGGCTATTTTATATTCATTGCAAACTATGTTCATATATTTCAAAGCCTAGGTTAGATACAAACCACGTACTTGGCCCAGACAATCTTATTAGTGGTGCTGACTTTGAATAGAATTAAAATGTTTTACAGGGTAACAGCCACAGATTAGCCTGAATATGCACCGAGTCATATTCTGGGGTCTCATGTCCCTGTGATATTGCCCGTTTCTCCTCCTCCTCCTCTTCCTCCTCCTGCACAAAGATGCGTTCCCCTACCTCATGCCTGAAATTATGTAAAGGTCATGGGTCTCTCTCTGCGCAATCACACATTTCCTCTTTAACAACCAGGAGAAGCAGATCAGACTGTGAGGTCATGACTAGCCCAGTGAAATGGGCACCATGTGCCCAGACTGTTCCTCAGGGCAGACAAGTTCTGTGGCATCCCAGGGCCACAGTTCTCCTCTCAGCTGATTTGCAGAGTAGTCTCAAGAGGTCTAGAAGCTTGGTCAGGCCTGTTGCCTTCCATGTTGCCAGCAGGGGTTGTCCTCCAAAGGAGGAGGAATGGGGTGCAAGCTATCTTGGAAGATGTGTCACATGCACTCTGGTATCTTATGAAGAGTCCAAAAAGGGACAAAAGAGGTAGCTGATTTGCATAATATTTGCCTGTGCTCATTTATATGCATAAATGCAAATTTAGAAATGGTTATTAAAATTTAAACAGAAATGCAGTGGACCTCAGCTTACAGTGGCAAATGTGCAGGCCTGTCTGTTCAGTCTCCGAGTGCAAAACATTGAGAAGTAACGGTTCTGATGGGTCTTGATCTACAAACCAGAACTGGGACAGAAAGGCCTTCAAATAGCAGAGGCCCCTCAGGCAGCCCCAAATAGAGGACTGCCTCTGCAAAAGAGGCCACCTGTGTAATAACAGAGGCCTAGCTAGGGCTGCATCAGTGAGGAAAACATGCTTTGCATATGGCTCAGGGGCAGTCTCTCCTTTTTACAACTTGCTCTGTTCTGAGCCGGAGACCCCAGATTTGAATACAAAAACTTCAATTTGCATTCAGATTGATAATTAGGCCTTAGTAACTGGCCTCGCATTGACCTTCCTTTGTGCAGGCACATTCCATGCCTAGTCATTCATCCAGTCCTGTGCAGCATGTAAATAATCTGCCAGGTAAGTGATGGTTGCTCTCTGCGCAAATTCCAGCTCCCCTGAGCAAATGGCACCTCACGTTGCGGAAGCCCCCATTGCTGTGGCCTGCATCACCACCTCCAGAGCTGAGCCTTGCAAGGATTCTCGGGCTCTCCACCTTTCCTGCCCACACCAGTGCCCCCTGAGGAAGCCCCTGCTGGATCCAGCCCTCACCGTGTCCCAATTGCAGCAGGTGAGTTTCTGGACAAAGCAGTCCATCCCCTGCTTGCTTTGCCCGCCTCCTTCCCACCTCCCACTCATGCTCCTGTCTCTGACCTGATCATTCTAGATGCGCCCGTCAGTCATCACCTGCGCCCCACGCCGGAGCTGCCCAGAGACACCTACAAGCACCAGCCCTCCAGTAAGTTCTCCCCCTTCCCTCCATCTGTCTCTTTGCTTCCTCTCTTCAGCCTCAACTCAGTATGTTAGAGGCACATCCCCATCACAAGCTCAGATGAACTTTGTGCTGGGCATTGACACATCCCACAAAAAGAGAACAGAAGAGGGCAGAAAATGTCCAACATTTGCATTTGTTGATGTGCATGTATTGACACAAATGTAAAGAGGAGTCATCATAATTTAAATAGGCTTACAGGGTGTCTCATCCTCATGTGGAAGACTGTGAGCGGGTGACTGGTGTGCCTGCCAGCTCGGTCTGCTGTCCAAGTGCTTCCGGTAGATGAGCAACAGTTCTGAATCTTTAAACCAGAACAGAGCACTTGGCCATGGCAAAACTTTGCCTGCATGTCAGGGATGCATCTATTTGGGTTGTGGGGGAAGTGTCGCAAGTGGAAAAATGAAAGGGATTCTATGAAAGAATCCCTTCTCACAGAAAGCTAGTGTGTCAAGATAATGAGTAGGGTGGCTAGGCTAGACTTCTCTCTGTCAAGCTACCTTTCTACATGCAAGGAGCTTTTCTTAAAATAATTTGGGAGCATTTTATGGTGCTGATATTTCCCAGCCATTTGAAACTGGGGGGTGTAGTCCAGGAACTCTTTTAGCCTGTGGTCTGCAATTTGTGCGGACCAGCCACGATGCAAAGTATAAGAATGGACCCAGTAACTTTTCTATTCGGCATCTAATGCACCATGAGACCACAGAAGTGCTTAACCTAGTGTGACTAAGTAGGGCATCAGCACCTTACCAGGCTACCTGCAAGGAGTGACATAGCGTTACAGCAAGTAGAGATGTGGGAGGAAAAGGTGGTTTGCTACAAAACAGCACCGTAAAGACAAGCAAAGTCTGAAAAAAAGTTTTCATGGACTCTGACCCATTTCATCTGATGCACCTGATGATGTGTGCTATGTTGCATGAAAGTTTATGCCTGAATAAATGTGCCCATCTTTAAGGTACCACAACCCCCTTTTTTTGTATTGGCTTTGAGGCAACAAACCAGTACAGCTTTCCCTCTGGAGTGAACAACAAACTGCAGCCTTCCTTTGTGACACGTAGAACATTCAGGCAAGCTCCTTCCCAGTCTTTGCAACTATGCTTGTTGACAGAGGAAGTGTGCATATGGGCTTTACTGTCCTACAGCCATAAGCGCCAGCCCCTTTTGTGCTGCTACCTTTGATTACTTTACTAGGATGGCAGAGTGGGCCTGTTTTCCCTGGGGCTGGTGGTGGTAGGGAAAGGCACAGGACTCACTGAGCACAGACTTCCTACCTCTTGATGGAATCCCCTTTAGCTACCCTGCCATTCTCACCACCCAGGTGGGTGACCCCAAATTCTTTCAGTGCAGATGGGCAGTGTGTGGATTCCAACCTGCACGTAGTGATGAAAACACCAGGCTGTGGGGCGTGGGAGAGAAAAACAAGATGCATCCTGATGCCCACCAGGTGACTTTGGATTACAGCCTCCATTCTGCTGACTTGGGCTCATGGGAGTCATTGTCCAAACTATCTGGAGGGAAGTGGGTCTCCTACCCCTGAAGCAAGCACATGCACTCTTTTGTGAAAGCAGAACCGGGAGTCCAGATTTCCTAACCGACCCGTTCTCCATTCCTTCCCTCAGCAGATCCACCTGTCGAAGCATGAGAGTGACGGGAGCCCTGCTTCTCCCCACGCACAGAGCTGCCAAGTGTGGGCGACGGGCTCAGCAGGAGCTTCAGCACAGCTTGCTGAAGAAGCCTCTCCCAAAGAGGGATTCATGGGGGCAGAGCAGGATCTGTGCCCCAGCCCCTGATGGCCTTCAGCCCTGCCCTGGGGGAGTGGCATGCCTCCCAGCCTTCCCAGCACTGGACCCAGGTGTCTGGACTGCCCTGTCCACTTTATATCTCAGCATCTCTTCCCTTTCCCAATTTAGGGCGATCCCCCAGGCACTAAAGGGCTCTGGGGCAAGGCTCCCTGAAGGGCCCTCCTTCCCTGGTCAGCAGCTGCTCTTGCGCTTTACCCTCTTCCTCATCATGACTGCCACAGGCCTGCTTACTTGACAGAGCCAGGGAGGGAGCAGGTGGGGCATCTGCGGCTCCTCCACACACCCCACCACCATTTTCTGGGCCAGAATGAGAAGCAGGTGAAGGAGCAGGTTGTCCTGGTGATGAAGAGGAGCACCTCCATGTCAGGGGCTGGTTTGTCCCTAGGCCCCTTGCAGAGGGGCAGCAGCCCAGCCATGGCGACCTTGGGCGCAGGTCCTTGTGCCTCCCTTCCAAGCCTCTTGGCATGGTCTTGTTCCTCTTTCAATCCTATAAACAGGAGTAGGATTCCTGCCTCGAAGCTCATTAGTGTGAAAGCACCACTGGATCTAACAGAGCTGCACTTCTTAGTCAGGCTGCTGCAGCTCTGGGTGCAAAAATTCCCTTGCAAATCCACAACATCTGGAGGGCGACTGCCATTGTTCAGCAAGGTTTTGTTTAGTTATTCGATATACTAAGTCCAGTCTCAAGTTCTCTGGCCCTTGCATAGCCAACATGGCAGCATCCAAGCCCAAGAGAAGACTAGCATCAGGCTGGGGGATCCCCAAGGTTTACAAAAGTACAAAACTTGAGGGGGGTAATTATAAAGCGGGAACCAACATCAACTCAACAAGGACTTGGCAGGTTCAATAGCCACAGAATGGAGTGTCAGCTACTTGAGTGCTAGAAGGGAGGAAGCAGAGAAGTGAATGTGGGGAAATGGAGTATCCTTGATAAGGGCACGGCTGGCTGGATGCTAAACACAAGCCCTCCACTTTCTGATGTTTTGCCGCAGCTCACTCGGCAAATAGCCACTGAACAATATTCCATGGATTTGTTTGAAATCCTGTTTAAAGATGCAAGTAGATGGTAGCTCACAGGCCCATTGGCAGTCCTCTAACTACCACTTGCAGCATGCAACTACAGTGGTTGAAGTGATACAGGTGGTGTTTAAAAAGACAGAAAACCAAAGGAGTGATGGACTGGAGGATGGCCTGGCTGGCATGTGAAATCCTCTTCTTATAGTGTGCATTTGTGCTGAGTTATGAGACTACAGAAGTATTTCTAATTACACACATCTGCACAGTTCATATGCACTCCTATAGGATAGATCTAAGTCACAAAGCTCACATGTGCACTCCAGCAGATGGGGAAGATAGGAGTGCCACTCTTAGCTTCTTGCTGCCAGCATGGTAAGGTCTTCTCTAAAGTTTCTGTCATGTTCAGATGCCTCTTGGAAGTGCTGGATGGTGCTGGGGAATCACTGAGAGTCTTCATTCTTCTTATTTGAGTATCCTTCCCTTTAATAGGAAATTCTGATTCCCAGTGGGAGTGGAATTGTAGACAAGGAAGGGCCACTGGAAAACAGGAGGGAGGTGCCAGCACTGATGAGGAGAACTCAAAAATTTGCAGAAGTACAAATAAAAATGTCCATAGAAAAACAACAGATGAGGTGTGAAAACAAACTCCCAAAGTGGTCCAATGCAGAATGAGCATGCATTGAACCAGAGACTGCCTGTTTAGGGTTAAAGCAGGGTTTAAAGAATGGAGACAGCCTGGAACAAGGCCTGGCTGGCATACTTAACACATTCACTTTATACTGTATTATTTTGTGGCAGGTCTCATTTGTAGAATCAAAATACACAACCACAGTGAATTGACTCCACTTCCATACAAATACTCTAGACAGAGCCTAAGATTTCAAGCGGCAACTCATTGCCAAAAAGAAAGTTATAATCAACAGTAATCTAGCCCATGTGTAGGAATGACTGATGCAGCTCAGCACTGAGATTAAAACCGAGAAGTCAACCCTAAAGCAGGCTCTCGCTGTACACTGAGACTGGAAGTAGAACTGAGAACTGAAAAGCAGAAAGCCTAATTCATCATGAGCGGCACTGACAACAGAACAGAGATGACAGGGAAATTTTCTGTTTTGATTTCTGGAGAAGGGAAAGGGGAAATTGTGGCTCACCAAATACACATGTAGAAGCAAAATCTTTGAGTAGCCTCTGAGACAAGAACCGATGGAGGAGGAACTTTAGGCCTGTGTTAACAAACCCAAACCGAAAACAATCCCTCCTATGTGAGATTCCCTTGACCCCAAAGGAGCCTTTTTTATATATTTGTCTTTGTTTTGTTTGTAACTCAAAAGTGTCAATAAAGTAGCACTGGATTGTTTGTGCACAGTAAGAATTGTGCCAATAGCATTTTTTGGGGAGCTCAGGGTACTGTGGGGAAACTGAGGCCAAGTCTGTATTAGCTTTGTGGAACAAAATAACAAAGAACAATTGTGCTCCACTGGCCATGCTGGCTAGGAATGATGGGAGCTGTAGTCTAATTTCTCTGAGAGTCACCAGGCTAGGGAAGGTTGTTTAGAAACTCTTGGAGCTAACCCAAAGTCTAAAGAGTACAAATGCAAATTCATGCCTCTTCCACTTCTGAAGAGCTGAGTGGAACAACTTTGCTTCCTTTCAACTTAGAGCTGGAGACCTCAGCATCTGTTTCCCCTCTCCTTCCCTGGAAAGAAAGGAGGAGGATGGTAAAATTATTTGCTTTTTCTCTTTCCTGGACTTGAGGTCTGACATGCAGCAAAATGAAGCATTAAAATCATCTCATATGGGAGCCAGGCTGGTCTCTGATTAAGAGTGCAAGACTGGGATGCAGGAGATGTGGGTTCCAGTTCCCACTCAGCCAAGGAGCTTACTGGGTGACTTTGAGCCAGCCCCAGACTCCCAGCCCAACTGACCTCACAGGGTTGTCATTGTGAGGATAAGATAAGATAGGAGGATTATGTAAACTGCCTTGGATTCCTTGGGGGGAAAAAGGGGGTGGGATGTAAGCATGTCAAAACAGGATGGAGTGTGGGGGGGTCAGACTAGATGGCCTGGGAAGTCCCTTCTGACTCTGTTTCTCTGTAAGTAAATAACTAAATAAATAGGCTCCCCCACCCAGTTTAACTCAGAATGTTCGTAAGCGTTCTGTGACATCAAAGAATGACCTCAAGCCAAGAGAGCTTGTACAGATTAGAGTAGCTTTAGGTCCTTGTTGGCAAGCTCCTGTGATCTATTCAACAAGCTGACAATCTAGTATTTTTCAGCAAATCTACATGTTCAGTGCGTTCAATGCCCTGTTCACCAATTCCCCAAGCACCTTAAAATGTTCAGAAGCTGAGTTTGCTCTTATGCTAAAAAAATAGTAAATATTCCAAGAAGAACACACTGACTTGATACACTACACACTATTTTCATTGCAAAATTAACAATCATACAAAAACAACAATCGTAATGAAGAAATAAACTGTGGGTAGGGAAAACCACTATAAACATTAAAAACTCTCTTCTGTTATTTAAGATCCTCATCACAGTGTAAAAATAACAAAGCAAACAATACACTGTATTAGGCTGATTATCCTCTGATTTCCAGGGTCATCTTTTCAATGAGAGGAAGTAAGTGATGAGGCACTGCAAAGTTACTGGAAGCATATGAGAGTCAGCACAGCTTCACACGCTCAGTCTGCTCTAGCATCCAGCTCTGATGCTCAGAGCAGTTGCTTCTGCAAGATCATCCTGAGAAAAAATAAAGCAGAGTTGGAGTAAAAAAAAGGAAATTAAGTTCAGGAAAATGATGAAAGATCCTCTGGTTCATGCAACCTCTTGTACTCTTGGTCAGATGTCAGGCTTGCAGGATCTCCTGGTTTTTACTAGCCTTCTCCAGGGTCCACCAAAGGCAGAACAAGGGGGCAATAACCTCTTGGAGTTAGGGAACAAGGGTGCCTCTGAACACACGTTCAGTCCCAGAACTGGTTTTGTAGTCCTTTCACATCAAATCCTTCGTTCCCTATGAAGTCTTCCATCTCACCACCCAATTTGGAAGCAGGGTGGGGTGGGGGAAGCCTTTTCATTGCTGCCATTATTAAACAGTGGTACTGCTCTGAAACTCACACCGAAGTCTATCAGTAAATCCCTTCTCTAGTCCTGAGTAGCCAACCAGATGCTTTCCAGAAGTATGGACTGGCAGCTCCCATTATTCCCAGCCAGCATGGCCAATGGTTAGGGACTGTAGAAACATGTAGTCCAAACCTGTGGAGTGCACCAGTTTGGCTACCCCAGGTAATTCTGGCAGCAAACAGGCCTTACCCAGTGATGGTAAATTTCTGGCTTGGCCTAAGCCAGCATGCACTTCCCCAAGCTACTCTGTGCCCACCCCCTCCAAGCCGCACTCCAGGGAAGGGAGATTACAAGGGGATTGCCCTGCACACCCGGCCATCTGGAATGCCAGTGGTACCCAATGCAGGCATTGGACTTGGCAAACTCCTGCAGCAGCAGATTCTGCAAACAGCTGCCCAAGCCCTTTCTCTGAGCACAGAGAGATCAGGAGTACACCACAGGTCTGGATATCATGGGAGAGGCTTCAGGGGGCGGGGGCACATCTGTCCTGCTGTCTTTGTCCAGGGGGACAATCTGACCCTGGGAGCAGAAGAGGCTGCTTGGCCCTGCCTCACCCAATCAAGATGCAAGGATGGAGTAATGCCCACATACCACACCCTTTATAAGCATCCATGTGCTGCCAGCCAAAACACCACCTTTTAAATAGGAACCAGAGATTAGGGCTATGAGCCACCCTACAAGTTCTTTAGCCCTATTGCCCCAAATCTTTCTGGGATCCTCCATTCCAGCCTCCACAGCTGCTGAGTCTTCTTCCAGCAAGGAGACAGACAGGCTGACATAACTCATTGAGGCAGGTGGTCATTTCAGGGATGAGAAGCTGTATTTCCACACTCTCAACCACTGCAGGTCAACAGCTGCAGCCACAACAGCCCCTGCCACCTTCAGGACCACTGGTTTCCTGTACTCAGTGCAAACTTACTTAGGATCCTTCCCCAAGTTCACTTTTTTGGCTAGGCCCAGAAGTCAGAGCACTGTTTCCGTGCCTCTCCCTGACCCTGCTCCAAATGATTGCACACATGTACAAAGCTTTCCCCCTCCTGAGCAGGGATAACCGTTGCAACCACCTCACCTTCACAAGGCAGCAGATTTTGACATGGTACTTTTTCTACCACCTTCAGCTTCTCGTTCTCCAGGGGTTCACACATGGGTGTTGGACGCCCCCAAAAAGTGACGTTTTGCAACTTTCCATTCTCTCCTTCCACTATCAACCTGCAACCAAGGAAAGAAAATCAGGACCAAGGGCCTAGTTGACTTGGAGGGTGCACATTTCTTTCCCTTCCTTTAGGGCAATTTTATTTTGATGTTTTTACAAGTTAGTGACAATAGCTGTTTTTTTGTTTTGTTTTTTGGAAGGACTGGATGCGATTTGCAGGGCAAAATGTCCCTTCTGAGGTTGCAGATCATTACAGTTGTGTAAGAACAGTGTTTACAATTTGAGGTTTTCTAAAAGAAAACAAAAAGTGCTTATCCTCCTATGTTTCATTTCAGCAATTGTTATGTAAATGACACATAAAGAAAGGGTCTTATTTAAGAAACCTGTAAAATTTGAAAACATTCTTTCTGTGGAAGGGGTTGATTTCAACTTCCAGCATTTTCCAAGCAGGTGTGTAATATTATACCCTCCCAGATCCCACAAAGGCTTTTAACATTCCTGCTCCTGAGAGACAGAACTAGAATTCTACCCCCAAAGCCCTGGGATTAGAGAGCACTTTACTGCAGCTGGAAGCTAAAACAGCTGGCTACCCTTTCCCTGCTCTCCTCCCCCGTGTGTTTTCCTGATATGGAGAGCTTGTACTCTCTGAAACCAAGTTATTAACAAATCTTCAGGAGTACACAGATTTGGACCTCTTTGGAAGAGCCCTGCTTTGATTCAGACCTTTGCTGAATCTATCTAAATCAGCCCAAGCTGGTTTGGGATTCAGTCAAGCCTGAAGGGCACTTCTGGAAACTGGCAGAGCTGGGGCAGAATCTGCAGCCACTTGGGGCAAGTGCTTATTCTCCCTCACACTGATTCATTGGTTCAGCTAAGTGTTCTTAGTTTTTAGGATTTGCTATTTATAGGATAAAGACATGATGCTCTTATTCATGAAGGCTCCAGAGCATGCGTCAATCTTATTCAGAGCTCAGAACTGGGCAGAGTGACACCTGCTAGGCAAACTTTTAACAGGTAAAGCTTTCCCTGTCTTGGGAACAAGAACAATGTGAAAAGTTTAGCTTCAAGGCACAGGATGAGAGGGTTTCAATAAAAGTAGATGGCATTTCTAGTCCTCAGGGTGACTTGTTTCTAGTCCTCAAGGGTCTAGCATGCTGCAACTAAGGGGAACTGCAGGGCTGCACCAAGCCACTTCCCATCTTAGGCTGACAGGCAAAATGCTCTCCCTGGACTCCTTGGTCCAGAAGCCAACAACATTAGCAGCTCAGGTTTACTCCAACTCTGGCAACCAGTTACCTTCTTCCCCTGAGGACAACACAAAGCAAGCATACATGGTTGTCCTCCAATACCCCCTTCCATACCCCACCACCCCACACCACCATGCAATCTCTGATCCCTGCTGGGGCTGCCCCACTCTGGCTAAGGAAGAGGAACGCAAGCCTCTTGTGCTTCATTATTAACAGCTGCAATTGGGTCAGTTGCCGACTCTCAGCTTAAGCTACCTCACAGGGCTGTTGTGAGGATAACATGAAGGTAGGCGGTATCATGCACACAGCTTTGGGCTCCTTGGAGGAAAAGGCAGGGTATAAATGTATAAATGCTGAACTTCCTCCTATTGAAACCCCCGCTTGTCCAGGACTGGAAGGCCAAACTCAGAACATTTATATGATGATGGAAAAGGGATTTCTCCTGAGTTGTGCTGGGTTGCCACACCAACCTCATAGCATCTATTCAGGATCACCAGCTCATGGCCACAGTTAAACAATCAGCAGCTAAGTGACTTCAAAGTGGGATTGAATACAACAGCTCCACCTTTCCCTTCCCAGGCCCACCCCACTTGCTTCATTTCAGACTCACGAGTAGTTGGGAAGTGTGGGCTTGCAGTCCCTCTGTCGAGATTTCATGGGGTTCGGCCCACATGGCGGTTCACAGAGACTCCAGGGACTCCAGTTGGTCCAGGTTCCTTTCACTGAGAGAAACAACATACATCAAGTAACCCTCTTTGTGCCCCGCACCCTGTTTAACCATTGCAACACCAAATTTTGGAAAGTGACTGCAGATGAGTAGGGCTGGGAAGCCACTTTCGGCCTGAGGGCAAATTCCAGCGGCCACATCCAAACTGGGGGTGTGGGGGCAGGCCAAAGGAAAGAGGAGAGGTGCAAAAACTAAGAAAAACATAAAACACGCCAGCATATTGTAATCTTACTGCCAGTCACTAAGGACATAAGAAGAGCCCTGCTGGGTCTACCGAGACCAACATCCCTGTTCACACAACAGCTGGCCAGCTGCCTGCAGGATCCCACACATAGGGCATGACTGCAACAGCACCCTCCCACCCATGTTCCCCAGCAACTGGCACTCAGGAAACAGAAAGGTTCAGGCACTGGAGGCCACCAGGGCTAGTAGCCAGGATAGCCTTACCCACGAATTTGTCTTTTTAAAATTATCCAAACTGGTGGCCATCATGACATCTTGTGATATAGAATAGGACTTAGCAAGAGGCTCCCTTTCAGCTGTCCTGACTCTCCCACGAACCAGCTTCAAGGGCTGAGCCCTTTGGCTTCTAGTATTGTGGGGGGGGGGGAGTCTCCCTATCCAATTTCTCCACATCAGACATAATTCTGCACATCTGTGTCATGCCTTCCCTTGCTCATCCTTTTTTCAAACTCAGGCATTGTAGCCCTTCTTCATAGGGAGGTTTGTTTGTTTATTATTTGGCTGCTCCAGGTTGTTCCAGCCCCTTGATTATCTGTGCTGTACTTAGAATAACCTTAGGGTTAACCTATGCCTTTTTGGGGGACCAGAGAGAACCTTTCTCAAGAGGCACCTGAGAAGGAAAGCAACAGAAGAGAAGGCTTTTGAAGAACAGCTTGGTTCAGCAACCACTGTGAGGCCTGGGTGAGCTTTAGGGACTTCCCTAGGGGTCACTGAGGCACCAAATGCCCCACAAAAACTGCTCCCAGGCTCCAGAGAGTCCTCTGAACTGTGTTAATTTGGGGAAAGTACTCTGAAAGCAGGTAATCCACAAACCTTGGTCTTAGTAGGAATTGCTTCACTAGAGACAACCACCTATACCTTGTATTCTGTTTCCACTGGTGGTCAGCAAGATGCCTTTAGGCACTCACAAGAAAATAGCCTTCTCCTGCATTCATCTTCAGCATTCAAAGATACATTGCTGCCGTTCATGGAGCTTCCTTATAATTATAGTTTTTTGTATATCTGTCTTCTAGAGAGCTTAATCCATTTTTCCTAAAGTCATCCAGGCTGATAGCCATCACAATACCTGACTCAAAAAGCCCACATCTCAGAACTACTTGGAATGGGCTGCTAGAAATCAACCATCCAGTCACTGATTAAGCCCACTTGCAGCACTTAAAGGGTGTTTCGGAAGTTTAACCTTCCAGATCTTCTCTTGTGCTTAGCAGTTCTGCCCTCTTTGTTTTACCCCCAGTTACTCACAAGGGCACCACTGGATATTGTAGCAGCTTCTCATTTCATTATAACCTCCTGGACAGCGCTTGCCATCATGTTTCCGCCCAGCACACGTCCTGGTCCTCGACTGAAGCCCAGAGATCTCTTCGCAGTTGAGCTTGATGTTTGTGCCATGCCGGACACAGCTGTTCCAAGTGCTCCACTCAGTCCACTGTCCATCCACTGTAAGGAGTGCAAAGAGGAAGGGGCAATCAACGATACAGAACCGTTGAGGGCAATCTGCCCTGTGAGCAGATTCACTAGGAGAGGATCTTGATGTCACTGCTGTCCCTGGGACTAAGGCCACAAATTTTTCTTTTTGGGAGGTTGCAAACCACTGAAATTATACCCCCCTCCTTTCAGCCTTTGCCCCCAATCCACAGTTCTTGCATATAACACTCTAAAGCCACCTTCCCCAAGCTGGTGTGCTCCAGCTGTGTTGATACTTGGAGTTGCAATCTGGCACATCTGCAGGGCACCCAGGTTGTGGAAGGCTGTGGGGAGGGGGTCACTCCCCTTATTTCCCACCTTTTGGCCACCCCCCTTCCTTTGTCACCCACCCCCACACTGCCAGTCAAGCAAACCAAAAAGCGGAAAATGACCAGCACTTTAAAAAATAACTTTTGATGGATACAGGTGGGCCAAGTCAGGATTTGCATTAATCGCCATAGGACATGTTTACCAAGTTTAGTTGGGGTCCTACTGATTTCAATTGGCAGCCAGAGGCAGACAACCTGTCGCCCTCCAGATGTTGCCGCCAATTGTGATCTGCCCTCACCATTGACTGCACTGCCCGGGACTGGGAGAAGTTGCAAGCCAATGGAGGGCTACCATTTGCCCTTGCCCTCAGACTAAAACATAACTATATGTTTGGCCATAACTTTGGCCATAACTCAGGAGTAAGTCCCACTGTGTTCAACAGTGCTTACTCCCAGGGAAGTGTGCGTAAGACTGCAGCATTAAGGTGGATTCAGCCCTTGGAAATAGCAGCATTTTAGGCAATTTTCCCTCATGCTCTGCTTTCACACCTGACAAACTTACATCACACGGGTTTAGCATTTCAAAACAAATGCTCCCTACCCTGGTGGCTACTGATGCTCAAAGGCACTGCCTGTGGCAAAGACTTCCTCTGGGAGGAAAAAAAATCACTAGGGGAGGTACAAATTGGAAATTGTTGGGGGGAACCCCTTCTTGGGCAGGACCTGGCACCATGGCTTTTCCTTCAAAACACAAGAGCCATGCGCAGGTCTGTCCAGAAAAGGATAGAGGCAGAGGCAGAGGCAGTCTTGCCTGGTGCTGGTGGTACAGAAATCCAACCCCTTGAGCACCAGCCCTCCAGCACTTCATTCAGCTGCGGAGAACATGCAGCCCTCCGGAGAGTTTGGCCTACAACTCCCATCAGTCCACACAGTGCTCAGTGGACATTGTCATCAGAGCACTCATTTGCACTGGTGACTTGTATGTTTCCAAGCCCAATTCAACATGCTCTTTTTCACCGATTGAGCTCTAGATGGCTCAGGACTGCAGTACCTGATGGAGTACTTCTGCTGGCTTGAACCTACCACACGCTACAATCATAATCTAAGATCCTCCTGCAAACAGCAGTGAGGGAGAAGGCCTTCTCAGTGGGGCCCCCCAATTATGGAATGAGGTCGCCTTGCCAGTGTTGTCCTCTTTTTGGTGCCAGGTTGAAACCTCCTCCTTCTCTCAGGCAACTCTCAGGAACATATGATGAGGTCTGAATCAGGTCCTGAATTGTTCTTGCTATTGATTCTTTATAATTGTTTATAAGGATCTCCCTCCCCCCCTGCTCCCTCTCTCCCTCTGTGTAGGGGGGTATGGTTATATGTGTATATGGAAGTATAACTATATAACATATTTTAAGACTATTATCTTTGTAAACTGCCAAGGCAGTTTCAGTTATTGGGCTGCACAGAAATGCAATAGCATGAAATGATTGACTACAATGTCCATAAGCACCAGCTGGCCTAGCCAATAGTCTAGGATGATGGTGTTTCATGAGCAGAGCCTGGGGTCAGACTAGATGGCTCAGGAGGACCCTTCTGACTCACTCTGTTTCTGACTCAGGCCTGCAAATCCCATCTGCTCCAGACATGGCAACCAATGGCCCGGTGGGCTATACATAACTCCCCTGATTGAGCCCCGTATCCGCCTCCAAGCCCTGTTTCCCAGGAGTTCCCCACATGCCCCCAACTCATTCCTTACTACCTGGGCAGGGCTTGTCAGTCTTGCAGATGGACATGCGGGTGTTTGACCCCGGGCAGCTCTTCCCTCCATGCCGAGGTGCAGGGTTGTCGCACAGACGGTTCTCCGTCACCCGGCCAACCCCGCAGCTCACTGAGCAGGGGCTAACAGATCTCCAGCTACCCCAGCTGCCATCACCTGTGGGAAAAAATGCCGAGCAAGGAAGCACAGAATGAGTGGATGCTTAGAGACCCTTGGGGCCACCGGACCATGTGCTTAAACTGGGGGGCTCAAAGGAAGGGCCCTGAAGGCCTCCCCCAGGTATGAAAAGGGGCAGCTGCCTGCTCAGCTACCAACAACCTGGTGCCCTCCAGATGCTGTAGAGCAGACTTCCCCAACCTGGTGGCCTTCAGAGGCATTTGGACTACAATTCCCAGAATTCCCAGCCATCAGGACCATTGACTGGGGATTCTGGGTGTTGTAGTCCAAATGTGTCTAGGAGGTGCAAGGCTGGGGAAGGCTGCCATAGAGCCCCTTCCCAGCCAGGATGGCCAGGGGTTGGGAATGATGTGTTTAGGACTACAAATCCCATCCACTCCAACCACCAGGGACAATGAGAGGGCACCAGGCTGCTTGACCATTGTGGCACAGAACTAAATCCTCTGGTGTCAGTAGTGGCGTTTGACTGGGAACTTCACAGGGCTGTCTGTTGCGGACTGAGCCAGTCTTGGACCTCAGTAAATGGGGTCTCTGGCAGTTTTCTCTTTGAGGTTGTCACCCACCTGATTAAAAATGGCAGGGAATCAGGGCCAGCCCAAGATATTTCCCTGCCTGAAGTCCCCTCCCGCCTCCCCTGTGCACAAAACCCAACAGGCTCAAAAGAGGACTCCGCCTTCCAGTGCAGACCATGAGCCATGGCACCCAAAGGCAGCAGGTGAGCAGAGGCGGCACAGGTCTCCCCCCCACGCCCCGCCCCAAGTTTGCTGCCACCCCAGCATCAGAGATGCTGGCTTCGCCCTGCTGAACAGTAAGGCTGGCCCTGCAAGAAACGGAGCCCCAACCCATTGCCCTTGTGAGAGCAGAGTCAGTGGCGGCCACGGCTTGCTAGCAGAGAAGCAGAGTTCATTCTCTGGGGGCTGCTTACTTGGGCAGAAGGGCAGTCCTGCACAGTTCTGGTACTCCCGGTCAGACCCTGGGCATGGGTTGCCCCGAGGGGAAACAGAAGGCTGTGGGTTGTTGCACTGGCGCTGCCGCTGCTGGCGGGGCTTCTGGCTGCCACTTTCAGGGGTGCAGGTTGCAGAGCAGGGCCCCCAGTTCCCCCAGTTCCCCCAGTTTCCATGGGCTGCATGAGAAAAGGAGAAAGGGGTCAATGGAAAGGGGGTGGGAGGCAAGAGGGCAGGCACAGTCTGCTTCGGTCATGCTCATCCCCATTCATTCCAAGGAGATCGCTCCGTCCGCTCACAGCACCTCCCTTCCATTGTGGCTCCATCCATCTGCAGCACTGCTAGGCCATCCGCTTTTCCCATAATGGACTCCCCATCCAACCACCTTCCCCTCTCACTCCTCTGTTCTCAGAGGCCTTTTATGTTGGGCAACAGAGAAAATACAAGAACTTAACATGCAATGAAGTAAAGCCACTTCTCCTTGTAAGAAGGAAATACTGATTTAAAATTGTCATTCCACACTGCAGTACTGCAGTCTCTTAAAAAGGGCATACCCTTATTTTGCATTCTCAGGCACTTATCAGTCTATCAATCAACTAAAGCTGCAATGTATTCCTCTACTACCTCTCTGTGTCCTCCAGTTCCTCCTTCCCTAAGGTCTTGTTCCATCAAGCCATTCTCCCACCCAGCAATTCTGACACTCCTCTTGCCGCCTGGACTTACTTGGGCAAATCTGACGCGTGTCACACGGCTGTGTTTCTGTGCTGGGTCCGTTGCAGCTCCCCCCGCAGCTCGGTGCTGGATTGGTGCAGGTTCTCTTCCTCGTCTGTACCCCTTTGAGGCAGGTCACTGAGCAAGGAGACCAGGCTCCCCATTCAGACCAGCCTCCCTGAACTGCAGGATGAGAAAGGCTGGTGTTAACAGACAGGCCTGTGGGAAATCCCCAGACCCCATGACAGGACATGAATCATTCCACACCCTCTCAGGAATGCACAGAAGCCATTTCCTCATGAGGTGATTTCTGAAGGGGATATGCAAGAGGAAAAGAAAGTAATTAGATAACATCTCACATTATATGCTCATAATTTCAAACATGGACTGGAATCATAAAACCACACATTAAAATGAAGATGTGGGGAGCCAGTCTACCCTAGTTCTAACTCCCCTGATTGCACCTAGTCCAGGGTGGTTGCACCAAAAAGCAAAATCCATTCAGAGGATGGGTCCATATCCATGGGTCACAGAGGCAGGGTTGCCAACTTTCCCACTGGCCACTGCAGCTATGCCTTTAAGAATAGGGCTTCTGGAAACACTTGGTTATTGTAGCGTATTATTTATTTTCTTTGTATCCTGTTCAGTAAGTGAAGCTCTCAGGGCAGTTTTCAACAAATGCCTCAATGGAGGATAAGTGGAGGCGCACAGCATGAAGTCTCTGAGCAGACAGCAACGCTACTGCTTCAGGTCAAACAGCCGGAACGCATCTCCAGGCACCTTCAGCTCAGGGCACAGGGGCAGTGTGGCTCCCTGTCAGCCACCTGTCCAGAATTGCTTCTCTGATTTGCACCAACTCCTTATATCAGCCCCACACCCTTGGCTGGACAGAAGGAGAGTCACCCTACAATGCAACTTCTCCCATCCAAAACATGCTCTTACACCACCTGGAGTGGGGACTTTCCAACCACTAGCTGAAAAGGGGGTTGTGCAACTCCAGGAGGTCTGAGAACCACTTTTGCCCCAGGAATGTCTGCCCCACAGGCTGCACCCTCCTTGTGGGAGCTGGTAAATAAAAATCTAAAAAATTAAACGGCATCTATACAACTAACGTTTGATCCTCTGGGGGCTCCAGGGGCATTACAGATGCCATTTTCCATCCTATAATAACAACAATAACAATAATCTGAACATGAGGAGCGACAGGAGGGTGCATGTGCCCTATGGACCATCCTCTGCACACCAGTAAGGGAAAACTAGCCCATTTAGCTTCCACTGCCTTTTTCTTTCCTGGCACACTATCTAGAATTATCTCCACTTTTATTAATATCAAATACTGCCTTATTTCTTGCTACTTCTGCTTCTACTACCAAGAAATCTGTGTACTTCACTCAAGGACTGAACAACCTTGAGCAAATAGCATTGCTTTTTTCAGAATTGGGGGACCTGCTATGGCTCGTTTCTTCTTCCCAGCAGCACTTGGAAGGGTTCCAAGTAAATGCTGAAATCCTCTTAGCAGAGCAGAGGTGGGCCATCTGTAGCCTTTCAGCTGCTTCTCCCTGCAGCTCCAACCATCCCTCACCATTGGCTGTGCTGGCTGCGGTGGATGGGAGCTGTAAGCCAAAACTGTCGGAGGGCCACAAGTTGCTCACTCCTATCATAGAATAGTAGAGTTGGAAGGGGCCATTAAGGCCATCAAGTCCAACCCCCTGCTGTTGCAGGACACCACATTATACCATCCCACTCAGATGGCTGTCCAGTTTCTTTTTGGATTCTCTAGTGTGGGAGAGGCCACCACCTCTCTAGGGCAAGAAGCCTCCTCACAGTCTCCATCTTAAGGCTGTACACAAACACAGACCCCATGGCTGATTGTTCTTCTCTCTCTGCTTCCCAAAACCACCAGCATTAAGGGATTCCTCTGAGCTGCCAGCCCAGGACAACCTCTGTCCACAAGCTTAAATTCTCCGCCCAAAGTCAGTCTTCCCTGGCGCAAGCAACGTACACTCCCCAAACCTTAGTGCTACACCAAGCTCTGTAACTGGGAGTTTTTGTGCAGACTGCATTTTCATGTGTGTGTCAGTATTGTGACCCCAATGAGGAGGCCTAACCTTCTTGGTTGGTGTAATCAGTGAGCCATATTAGTCAATAATATGATCACACGAGTGTGTTTGGATATTGCCTGACTTTACACAATATGCTGGTACTTCATCAAAAGAGAGAGAGAGAGAGCTATTTCCTGAACATGAAACCCAAGGAGCTGGTTCTTATTTTCAAAAGATGGAGAACTGTGGTTATTAGTAAAGGTGAAAGCTAAAGATTTGGCTCATATATTAAAATCAAAGTAATGTGGGCTGGAGCAGTCAGAAATTCATCCATTACAAGAATCTGCAGCAACTGGAAATCAGAGAAGATTGGATATGCAGATACAACTGCAATCAGAGAACTGAGATACTGAGCATTTAGCTTAATGAGAGCTTGGGAATCCCAAGTATTGTGAGCAAAAGGAGAGATTAATTTCTGTGCTAAGTCAGTTTTGTTCTACAGTTGACTGAATGTGATGCCATCGGGCAGTTTTGGCCTTCAGGCTCCTCTCAGCAGAACCAAGCACCCCCACCATTGGGAGCTGTGGGCCATATCTCATTTATATGAGTCACAAACAAAAAGGAATTCAGAGAAGGGAGCATACAATGCTGCTAAACCAGATGCAAGAGACCAGAAGCCCAATTCATGCTGACATTTACTGTTATAGCCCCAAGAGCCTGGGATGCAAATGCCTGGAAGAGCACTCCTTCCCTTCCTATCAGCCAGACCATATCAATCATCAGAAGATCTTCCATTGACACCCTACTCCAGCCTTCCTCAACCTGGTGCTCTCCAGATGTTTTGGACTACATCCGCTTTGGCTAGCAGAAGGGGGCAATTTATCCCCAAAGACGGCTTTTTTCGTGGTGGCACTCCAGCTTTGCAGAGACCTCCCTTTTACAATCTTTTCAGCACCAGGTTAACACTTCTATTACACAAACATTTTGATTAATAATATGCAGGTACAAGACTGTAGCCTTAGAATCTAGTTTCTGCCAAGGGAAGAAGACATCACTCTGCACCTGCTAAGACCAAAGACAGGCATAGGATCTGTAGAGCCATGCCCTGGAAATACCTGCATGTGTACCTTCTTCCTTACAGAGCTGAGCTATGAAAAGAAATAATGAAAAGTTCTGCAATTGCCAGTTGTGAATAGCACTGACCAGCTAACTTCCGTGACACCAGACAAAAGTGTGGCTCCTTGGAAAGAAAAAGGTGAAAAAAAGGTTGACAAATAAGAAGGATTTTGATGATATTTGGGGCTTGTTTACTGAACACATATTAATAAAAGGGAAGGCTATTAAATCCTTGAATGATTCAATGCAATTTTGGATGGAAGGAGGTATTCCTGAAAGGGCAGGAATTTGGAAGAAGTAGTAAGAAAGAAGAAGAAAATGAATGAATGAATGAATGAATGAATGAATGAATGACTATGTAGAGATGAATGAATAATTACTATGTAGCCAAGGTCCCAGTGGAGGGGTGCACTAGTTGCGCTTTTAAAATTTTGTGTTGTTCTTTTTTCTTTAATTCAGATGTATTTTTATTTTTGCACTGATGTATTTAGTACTGTATTTTGTATTTTTAAATGAAAAATAAAAAAGGAAAGACAAAAGTAAAAATACAAAATGGGGTGATCCACTTCATGCAGAATGGGGGAACAGGCAAGACCAGCTCCTGACCTAGTAGGCAGCTTGACTGAATGCTTGCCAAGCCCAAAGCCAACTGGGAATCAGGTTCACATCAAGGGCAAAGCAATCACTGTGACATCCATGAAGTCCAAGGCACAGAATGGTACAGCACAGCCAGGTACTTACCAGGACAACAGCCCTTCTGAGAGCAGGGCTGCATCTGCCATTCCTTTGCGTGCTCCTCACAGCTGCCACTGGACCAGCCGTGGCAGATCCGTTTGCGCTGCTGGACCCCTTCCGTGCAAGAAACAGAGCAGGGACTCCATGGGGTCCATTCACTCCATGAAGCTGCACTGTGGGAAGGGACAGCAAAAGGGAGGTGAGTCAAAGGGACAGCAGAGAGGGAGGTGTGCTTCCCTTCCATAGGGATTAATAAATTTCCCCATGGAAATTCTCCATAGACCCACCTTACCCCCTGCCAAAATGGGAAAATGCTAGGTGAAAAATGAATTTATGCTAAGGTGATTTCAAGTGTGTTCGTTCAAGGGTGGGCAACCCGCCTGCTTCCAGGTGATTTTCAATTTACACCTGCCTGCCTACAATTTGTGTTTTCCCTCATGAATGCCTGGTTAAGGTTGATGGGAATTGTAGGGGTGAACATCTGGAGGGCTACAAGTTGCCCATCTGGATACAAGAAGGGCATTTGGCTAAGTCTGGCAATTCATAAGCCATCACCTTGGGGTTTGCATATCCAACGGCTTCTTTTAAATTAATGCGCAAACATGTACATATTCCTATGAGCAACATTCCAAAATTCACACCACAGCAATCCCTTTATTAGGACCTACCAACATGTCAGAAAATAATGGGTACATTTTGGAGTTCTGCAGAAATCTTCCATTAGGTTGGATGTTGAGTAAAAACAAGTGGTAGGGCAGAGGAGTGGGAGAGAAAAGTTTAAAAAGCTAAGTTGATGTTATAGCCACTTTGACCTGGTTTGCATATAATGACAACTCAGTGAATGGGTTGAGTATAGCTTGCTGTTGAACTATGAGTTGTTATTCAATGTGAACCCTGCATTATGGTTTAAGTAGGTTTTTAACTAGGAAATCCCAGAGTTCACAACTAAACAACAAAGCATAGTCTCTCCTCCAGGGTTGTTTGTGGTTAAAAATAACCACTTAAACCAAAGTGCAGGTTTGTGCATAAAAACAATCCATGATTCAAAATAACCTGTGCACAACCCATTCTCTGGGTTGTTGCTACATGCAAACCAGGTCTGTCTGCATGAAGTCAAAAAGTCAAAAGTAACCTCATGGCACATAGCTGGAAATCATTAATGCCTCCACACCAATTCATAATTTACTATGATTTTTGAAAGTAGATGGCAGGGTAATGGTGGGCAAAGACAGAACAATATCAGAGGTTATCAAGCAAGAACTGGATTGGTCACTGAGTGGAGGAGAGGTGCAGCAGTCAGCAAGATCAAGGCGGTGCGTCGCTCACCCGCAGGACTGGCACGGCGCATCTGTGTTCAGCCGGAAACCATACTGATGATTTAGACAGCATTCCTCTGCTGTTGCTCCATCACCCAGCAGGTCATTGCAGGTTCCTGTGGTCCGATCAAATGTTGCGTAGCACAGAACATTCTCTGCCTCTGAAACAAAGAACCCAGCTGAGACCCAGCCAGCCACAAGCGGAAAGACGGGTATTCCCTTCTGTACACACACGCACCACTTCCTGGGGGAGAAGCCCCCTTTTTATGCAACACCAGACTTCGTATCTCTTTGCCCCAAAGCAGCAAACCCCCACTCAGGAGGCACAAGTTGGAGTGTCTATTTTATCGAGATGTTTGCATTCAAAAGAGAGGAGGAAATTTCCTGTATCTTGCCCCCTTCCAGCATCCTGCAGCAGCTTGCCAGTCACAAGTTTTTCTTGCAGGAAAAGGAAGAAACGGGGCTGGGCAGACCTCTTTTTTTAATAAAGGGCTGATATAGAGAAACACACAGGGGACAGTGCCAAGAGAGTTCGCTGCTGAGGAGAAACATACCAAAGCCGACCAGATCAGCAGCTGAATCTTACTTGATTCTGGGCAGGGTGTATGGAGTGCACAATCATCTGCTCCAAAAGAGCGGGGTAGGCAGTGAGTTCATGACCAATGGCTGCTCCGTATTTGCCCAGCTACCCACCGTTGGAGGGGACGGCTTTCTTCTACTTAACAGCAGGACAGTCATGGAAAGTGCGCTTTTGCATGGTGTAGAAGCAGAGATTACTGCCTGCTCTTCAATTGTGGCAGCTTTGGGCCTGCAGATGTTTTGGACTCTGATGCCAGTCAGCCTTAATCTGCCTAGTCTAGGGTGAAGGATAATGGGAATTGTAGGTCCAAACATCTACAGGGCTACAAATGGTCCACCACTGTTTTAAGGAGCCAGCTGTTCAGGTTGGCTGTTGCTTCACAAACATAAAGGTCTGAGCTATACTGGAACGTCCTGATGACATGGGAGACTGTGGCATGGGGGCTTTTCCACCTTATCCCCCATCCTGCCAGGGTTGGCTGCAGCTTCAAGAGGTGTCTGAGAAAGTGTGCTTTAGTGTCCCTTTGGGAGGGTCTGCAGCTTGGTGACAGAGCGCAGGGTTTGGGGGTAGGGAGGCAGAGATGACATGCTTTGAAGCAAGGGGCACCCCTGAAAAGTAGGGAACTGCTGCCAGTCACTACCAATGCAGTGGCCAATGGGCTGGATGGATGGACCAATGGACTGGATGGTCCAATGGTTAGAACATAGGAAGTTTGCTTCCATTGGTGGGTTAGGGTGGGCTTCTTGGGAGGGGGCATCAATCGCATTCAAGAGCAGCAGCAGCAGCAGCAGGTGACTGGGATGCCACCATTCTCCCTGGCATAATGTTGCTCTGGTATATTTTGGGAATTTTCAATGGCAGCCATAGCCCTGCATTCCTCAGAGTGCTGGGTGGCCCTTTGTCTGAAAGGAAAGCCCAGGGCAAGTATCAGTGGTGACCTACCTATGTCCACCTGGCAGAACTTTGATTATTTGCAAATCTGACCACAGAACACTTTCAGCTAGGAGGCATTCCTAATATTTAGATTACAATCCATGCTAAGCATCCATTATATTATGCATGGAAATGAAGAATGCAACAATTCTTCAACTATCCCACTCCATACAAATGAGTTGGGAACTGGATTAGTCTCTGCAAAACTCGCCCTCCTTTGCAGCAACCACAATCCCACAGACCCTTTGTATTCTCTCCTTTCTGCTAGCTTCTGAAGACAGGCAGCCCCCTTTGTATGGTTGTTTTAGCTGGCTTTTGAGAGTCAGACTTCAGTTTCCCTGATATCTGTTGGAAGAGCAATTCTTGCAAACATGGCCTCTCTGAGAGATTCCTCAGATGTGTTGCTGATCATTTTCTCCAACAGAAAATGGAGGAAGGAACAAGAGGAACAGTTAGAGAAGACCTAGTAGAAAAAGTAGCAGCTACAGGAACTGGGGGAAAGTAACCACGCCATACTTGAATTCTTGATTCTAAAGGAAGCAAAAGCCAAATGTAGCCAAACGTATACCCTGGACTTCAAGAAAGCCGATTTTAATAAATTCAGAACAATGATCAGTAAAGTCCCATGGCAAGTGACCCTAATGGCAAGAAGGGTGGTAAGTTTTTAAAAAAGCAAAATCTAAAGGCACAATTACAAACAATTCCAACAAGGAAAGGGGGTAGAAGACAACAGATGAAGCCCGCATGGCTTCACAAAAAGTGTAGAGATGATCTGAAAACAAAAATGGACATGGAAGGAAGCGGAAGGAAGGCCAGACTACAAGGGAAGAATATGGGCAGGTAGCACAGAATTACAGGGAAGGGATCAGGAAGACTAAAGCTAGGAATGAACTGAGGCTAGTGAGGGATGCTAAAAGCAAAAAAAGAAAAAAAAAAAGCTTCTTCAAACAGAGAAAAGAAATGGGAGTTCAATTACTCACTGTGGATGGTAAAATGATAACAGATGACAGAGAAAAGGCAGAAACACTAAATTCCTACTTTTACTCAGTCTTATCCCAAAGAAGGTCTATGACCTTCCTGAAGAAGGGGAAGTACAAGCTGATGGAGCAGGTTGCCAGCTCAAGATTGATAGGCAAATGATCAAGAATCTTCTAGTTGCACTGAATGAGTTCAAATCTCCAGGGCCTGAGAATCATAAAGGAGCTAGCAGAAGAACTCTAGGAACCACTGTCTGATATCTTGCAGGATGGAAGATAACTGGAGAAGGACTAAAGTCCCTATCTTTCAAGAAGAAAAAGAAGAACCTAGGAACTACAGATCAGTCAGTCTGATATCAATCCCTGGGAAAATTCTGGAGCAGATTATAAAGCAGTCAGTCTGCAAACACCTTAAAAACAATGCATGATTACTAGAAGCCAACATGGATTTCTCAAGAACAAATCCTGCCAGACTAATCTGATTTCATTTTTTCTTCTGATTGGGCAATCTCCTTGGTGGACTGTGGGAATGCTGTGGACATAATATATCTTGACTTCAGCAAAGCTTTTGACAAAGTGCCCCATGATATCACGATTAGCAAACTAGCAAAAAATGGGCTACATGGAACAACTATCAGGTGGATCCAAAGCTGGATACAGAATCAGACTGAAAGAGTGCTCATTAATGGCTCCTTCTCCAGCTGGGGAGAGGTAACAAGTGGGATATTGCAAGGTTCAGTTCTGGGCCCAGTGCTCTTCAGCATTTTCATTAATGATTGGGATGAGGAAGTCCAGGGTATGATTATCAGATTTGCAAAGGACACAAAACTGGGTGAGATAGCTAATACCCTGAAAGATAGAGATAAGATTCAAGGTGAAGTTGATAGGATGGAGCACTGGGCTGAAAACAAAATGAAATTCAATAGGGACAAATGCCAAGTTGTGAACCTAGGAAAAAGAAACCAAATGCATCCTCACAAGATGGGGAATACTTGGCTCAACAATACTGCATGTGAGAAGGATCTTGCAATTGTTGTAGATCACAAGCTGAATATGAGTCCACAATGTGATGTGGCTGCAAAAAGGGTTAATGCTATCTTAGGCTGGATTAACAGAAGTATCACTTCCAAATCTCATAAAGTACTAGTTCCCCTTTTACTCAGCACTGGTTAGGCCTCACCTGGGCACCCCCATTTAAGAAAGATACGAACCAGCTAGAAAGGGTTCAGAGGAAGGCAACAAGGATGATCCAAGGACTGGAAACAAAGCTCTATGTGGAGGGATTGAAAGAGCTGGGCATATTTAGCCTTGAGAAGAAAAGACTGAGGGGAGATATAACACCCTACAAGTACTTGAAAGGCTGTCACAAAGAGGAAGGACTTGATCTCTTCTCGATGATCCCAGAATGTAGGACATGTAATAATGGGCTCAAGTTACAGAAAGCTAGACATCAAGAATTTTTTTTCCTGTTAGAGCAGAATGACAATGGAACCAATTACCTAAGGAGGTTGTGGGCTTTCCCACACTAGAGGCATTCAAAATGCAACTGGGCAGCCATCTGAGAGGGATGGTTTAACTGGGAATCCTGTACTGAGCAGGGAGTTGGACCCAATGGCCATCCACCCCTTTCCAATTCTACTATTCTATGATTCTATGTTTGGGTCAGTATTTTTTTTTAAGTTAGAGATCCTCATGTCTTCTGATTCATAGGTAAGGGCTGACACCTTTGTACACCAGGGATGGCCAGAACATAGACCTCCAGATGTTTGGGACTTCAGTTCCCAAGTTTTCCAGACCACTGACTACACTTGACAAGACCTTCTGAGAGCTAGAGTCCCAAACATCTGGAAATCTTTCCACCTACCTATGATATAGACAAAAGAAACCACACCACCCAGCACAAAAGGAAAATTTCAGCAGACCTGGGCAAAACCCTAAGTATTTCAGATGCTCACAAAATCTTTAGGAAAACATCTTAAGGGAAAGAACTGCACTCACCCAAACAGCCTGCCAAGGAGCTTATTGACCACTGAATAGAAAGAAGGGACAGGAAACCTGATGGTTTTTTGTTTTTTTGGAAGGGGGAATGAAGTATTCTGAACAGGAGCATTCCCCACTGCAACATTTTGTTGCAGTTTCTGCAGGTTATTCTAATTCTGTAAACTACTGTGAATAATGAAATGCAAATATTTTAAGTAAACATCTCCGATTATAAGGGGGCTTTCTGTACTGACCTTTCTGAATGGCAAGTAATCCTTTGATGAAACCACATGAGAGTTCAAGCTCTTCTCATGTAAGATGTAACACAGACCAAAAAATACATTCCATACCCGTGAGAATCCCTGATCACATAACAGGCCATAATACTTAGCTTTGCCATCTCAGGTTGCATGCCCAAATCTCTCTGTTCCTCAGTCCACTCCAGCAGACTGGCATCACAGTCTCCCAAGTGTCCTCTGCACATCTGCTAAATATGCTGCCCTCCCAGCTGTCCCATGCCACGGGGCTCCCGTGCTTAATCTCTCTGCAGGACAGGCAGAAATTCAACAAAGAAAGCAATTTCCTAACTTCCATGGTAGAATAAACATGCCCCTCATTGAAACCCAGCTTGCCGTGCAGTTGTTAAGAAGCACAGCAGCTTCGCTATGGAAATATAAGAAATCGCAACCAAACGTCACCTGTTATTGAGGTTCTTAGCTCTTAAAAACTGGCCTTGTCCATGTAGCTTTAAGGCTTGTCCCTTTAAGGAACTCAACACGTCAGGTTTCCCCCAGCAAAAAGGTCAACCGAGCGAGCTGCATTCTTGCCTTAATTTCTGCCAGTGTTAAAGGCACAGGCGCCTCCCCAGGGGAAAACAGTTGGCAACTCCGTCTCCCTTTACCTGCAGCGGGGTGCAAGCCCCCAAACCACCAGGACACCACCAGTAGGAGCGGGAACCGCGTCACCCAAGGGATCTCCATAGCTCCCTCTGTGTGCAAACAGAAGGAATGAATGGCCAGGCAGAGATAGGAAGGTTTTGAGCAGGGGGGGCGGGGGGGAAATCCCGGAATGCTCAGCCCCTGTGACTCAGCCGATGGGTGGGGCACCTCCGGGTTTTGCAACTTCTCCTTTGGGAAGCCTCTGCAGGCAGGGGCCAAAAGCATGCAGCAGGCTTATGGGGGCAATCATGCCATGCCTGGAAGCAAGGGGCGCCACTGCCAAGTGTCCCAGGTTTGCACTCATGTCAGCCGGGTGCATGCATAATAAGGGGCCAGGGATGCTTTTTCCTGCTCATGGGTGACACTGGTCCTAGTGGAATATATGGGGAAAGCAAAGAAGTGGTGGATGAGGTCACACCACGCTTCCTTTCTCTTTTACTTTCACACACACAAACAGGAATCACTTGCTCATGTCCTGTTCCCGGCTCCCCCAGTCAGCTGCCTGCCCACCGTGGGAACAGCATGCAGGGCCTCCTTGTTCAGATCTAGAATGGCTCCTCTTAGGTTCACCCATACAAGGGCTTCTCTTTGTGGCCCTTGTGACTCTCTCAAGCATTCTCCCCACCCTGTGAAATCTTTAACCCTCACAAATCCTGTGACTTCAGTAAATTTATTCCCACCTCCTCAAATTGACACCTATTTAGAAATCACTCCAAATCACGTTTCTCCCACTCCAGACTGATTGGCTGCCTGGAGGGTGGGGGTGGGGAGTCCCCAGCATCAGTACCTGAGTGGGAGCAACAACTCAGAAAGGACTTCTTCCACCTTCGGTTTTGAACGGCATCACGAGGCTATCTGAACTAGACAAACAGATTGGCCAGCAGATAAACAGGTACTGAGACACAAGGCAGAGTGTCCTCTAGGTGTTTTGCTCTTCAGCTCCCATCAGCCCCAGCCAGCATGGTGTTGGGGTTGAGGTCCCAAACATCCCGAGGGCAACAGGTTGCAGTAGGCAGAGATATTCCAGCAGCCTTTCCCGGTGCCCTCCAGATGTGTTGCAGTGGCAGGAGTTGTGTCCTCCAGATGTTTTGGTGGAGGCTTTCCTAGGAGTTCAGTACAAACAGAATTGGATGGCATATTAACCTTTGCTGGGATATGTTCTCATGCTCCAGGACCTGCTTCATTCAGTGCAACCAAAGAAAAGGAAGCACTTGCTTTCCACTCCTGGCTTAAGCTCCTCCTAAGAAAAACCCTGCCAGATCACTCCCAGACCTCCATTTTGTCCTGCAGGATCATGCAGGTATGGTTGGCTAGGTGGCTTTGGAAGGCTGGGGAGCAGCAGATGCCCACACTTCCTTGTTCCTACATATCCCACAAGCAGTGGGATCCATGATGAGAAAGGAGCAGGTGACCAGGGTGGTGAGAAAGTGGGCTCAGGGAGGAGGGGGCCCTGCAAGGCCTGGATCCAGCACTGCCCTGGTCACCCCCATTTTGCCCAGCCTCTCATAAGAACTAAGTCCCTGCAGAGAAACTGTTGAAGCCCCACCTTGCAAACAGATGTGTCATCTGGCCAGCCTGATAAACTGACCACATGCAAAACAGGGCTGACAGCAGCACATAAATGCAGTGCTCTGATTGTTTTGGCATAGGTCTCATCCTTGGCTTGAGAGAAAGAGAGAGAGAATGTTGTGGGGGGGGGGGGTTAACCCTTTTTTACCCAGTCATTTAATTGCTCAAAACTGATTTTCTAAGGTTGTCAATTGCCCAGAAAGGTGGTTGTGCCTTTAAAATCAACTTGACCTGCAAACATTAGCAGATGAAAGGGGTGTTTTATGGCCTAGAGGGAAATGGAATCCCCTGCAGATTGCACTGGCTCAAAGCAGGGCTGCTGCAAAAGGCAGAGCATTGTTATATCTCCACTTACCCCTCCAGCTATTTCCTCCCTGAGAGATAAAAGGGTGCAGGAGCCCAAGGGTTCATAAATCTGCTCATCCTTATAGTACCACAAGCCTTTTCTCTCTTTCTCTTCCCCACTCCACCACCATGGGTCCATTTTTTCATTACTGTGGTTCACCAGAGGGAAGATGCCATCAGCAGCCCAGCACTAGGAGAGAGCACTTTGCACTCAGGGGCTGTTTTTTAAAAGATGCAGTCTTGCAGCTCCAACCGAGCCTTTGCATTTCTGGGTTGCATAAAAGTAGGGTTTGCCAACTCACCAAAATTTCATTCTCCTTTCCAATTGAAAGGGTAGAAGGAAGTAAACTAAAGGAGGTGGGGTGGTAAGTTGTGCAATCTTTTAAAAAACATACTCTCTAAGATGCATATTTGGTAGCAGGCAGATATACCGTTTACCACTCTAACACATTTTAACAACTTCATGTCAGAAAGGAAAAACACTCTGTATAGGCTTGTCATTCAAGCCTTTAAAAAATATTTCACTTTGGGAACAGATACTTAGCACATGCTCAGAGGCACTCCTCCTGTGTTAGTCATATAGTTCCTCTGCCTAAGAATTCTTGAAAACAAGAAGTTCAAAAATTCCATCACATTTACACATAGTGCTCATCCATGGTCTATTTAACACATGGTTTGTTGTCCTATCCAGGGTTTGGCTAGCGGAGGATCAAGCAAATCACAGTTCCTTTTCTCAGTCCTTGGTTTCTTTTTCTCTCCTCTCTATCCCAAAAGCCTTCACAGAGCTGTAGTACAGCTGTTGGGGTTTTTTGGCCTGCTCTTGCCCTCTGTAGCCTGCTGAAATAACCCAGGAACAACCCATACACAAAAAAAGTTTTACAACTCCCAGCATTCCCTAGCCCATTTCAGATCATCCAAATAAAGCTTTTTAAAGCAGCCCATGAGCAATAGGAGGTAAAACATTTTCTCTGTGCTGCATCATAGAGTAAATATATTTATGCCATATGGTTCTGTGCTCCTTTCTGCTTTAATATTTCTAGGGTGCAATCTGATTCATGTTTAGACCAAAAAAAGTCCTACAATTCTCAGCATTCCCCAGCAGCCTGGGTGACTGGGGCATGCTTGTGGGGGAGGGGGGAGCGGTTCTAGGACTTTTTCTGTATAATTGAACATAAGACTGCATGTTTATTCCATTTTTCCATTAGTAGTGCTCATGTCCAAACTTGAGCTTTCTTTCCATTGTGCCAAATTTATTTTTGCTTCCAATTTAGTAGCACCATAAACGTAAGTTAACAGCCCTGTGTATTGAAGATTTGTGTTCTTGACAGTATACAAATTTAGCAGCCCCAGTCCTGGGGCAAGTATAATCATTTGTCTGATTACCAATTCAGCCTCTTTAAACACCTCTTGCAGCACATGATCCCACATATGTAAGTATATCCTTATACCTGGACAGCATCTCTAACACAAATGGGTATGGCAGATTTTTAAAGATCCTACTTGCCATTTTTCTCTGTATTTGTGAAAGGCCCTGGGAACACAGCATGTGGCAAAGCAACAATTTACCTTTCTTTTCAGAAATAGCTATATAAAGGGCAGAAGCACTTATTGTCAAAAATGGGTTAAGAATGTCATAAGACCTGCATTTGGGGAAGTGTCCCCTTGCCTTCTGTGTTTTATTCTCTTGCACAATCGCTTCTGGGAAGAGAACCAAGACACTAATCTAAAATTAAGAGGCGAGATCTGGATATGAAGTCAGCTGCAATTGCAGCTGTTTATATATGCTTTTCTTTAGAATTCCACTTCATCCTTGGGAGTTAGCAAAGGGCAAGGAGAAGCAGTCAAATCAAGAAAAGCCAACCAGACAGTAGATGCTGAATTGCTCGGACTTGGTAATCAAATGACAAAGATTGTCAGGGGATGAGAAAGGGACATTTGATCACAGCCAGAAGCAACTAAAAGAAAAAAAAAGTGGGGATGGGGTGGGACTGGAAAGGCAGTACTTGTTTTTTAGAAAGAGAGGAGCTTAGGTAGCCGGTAGCCTGTGACCTGGAGCCTGGAAGAGAGCCAAGTGAGCAGGGAAAGCCAACAGTCTCACCTCCTGCTGTGCCTTCAGCAGCCACTGATCTGCAAAAAAGCAGCAGGGTTTCACCTGGAGGAGATTAGTGCATTATATAACCAGCCACTGCAGTCAGTCCTGCTGGCTGGCTGAGTAGTAGTTCCACACCCCTGGAGAGCATCAGCTTGGGGAAAGCAAGGCCAGGTTTTGTGCTTCAAGCTGTAGCTGAAGGACCCCGGGCTGATAAAACCAGAATGTTAAAGTTTGGCAACTCTTGCTTACCTGAGGAATACACCTTTGCATTTGGGAGTGCCGGTCTTGTAAGAGAAGGTGCTCCCCACTTTTTCCTTTCCAGGTCCCCCCCCTCCCCGTGGCCATCTCTGATGGGGAGCAAATTGGCGGTCCTGCTAGTTTCAGCAGACCCAGAAAAGCACAAGAGCAAACGACCTGCAGGCAGCAAATGCAGATGCCCCTTTTGTGCCTCCATTCTTTCTTCAAATTTGTTTGCTTCCACTAACTCTCCTTCTTCCAGCAGGCTTGTCTTTGCCAAAGAGAACACTAAAAGGCAAGGCATGGACCAAAAGTGGGGTGTGGGAGGGGGAGACTGGCAGGAATATCTGAGCCCTCATCTCAGGTTCAGCTGCCCTCCCTGAAAAAGAATGTAGCCCGGTCTGCTTCTTCTGTAGTGAGAGGTGGACAGATTACCCTGTCAATGGGAAGGACAGGAATAATGAAAACATCAAAAACAGACCGGAAGAGGTGAGGCGTGTTTCTGCCTGGGAGATGCAATTAAATAGAAATTAGACATGGAGGAGACTCGGCCTGCCTCAAATTCTTAGCAGTTCAGCCCCAGTCTAAACATATTGTACTGTATCAAACTGCTGCACTTTGAGTGCTCCCTTCATGCAGAAAACTAGCGCAGGGAAGAACAGACTGGACCAGAAAAGTTTTCCTGGAAGTGCAAGTTGGTGTATTTACTTTGATCTTTTTATTTGCAGCTAAGGTGTTGATCTGTTTGTTTTAATGTCCGGAAGAATTCAAAAACTGTTATCTTCCCCACCTGTGGTCTGAAGTGATATGGTGATGGCAGGACTGAGCAGAAAGTATATCTCTAGATGTTCTGAACTTTCACCTTCAGCTCTCAGCATTGCTGACCATTGGCTATGCTGGCAGAGGCTTCCAGGCACAGAAGTTCAAAACATCTAGAGATCTGTCCCCTGACGGTCTCTGACCAGCCTGACCATCTTGGAGTTCTGCCAGTGCTCTGTTTCAACCAGGCTTTTTGTGGCTGCAGAATGCTAGCAAGCAGCTTAGATTCTGAGGCCATCACAGCCACGAGTTCATGCCGTTCTCCAAGCCCAGGTCTTTTTCATGCTAGAGCCCTTTGGCCTGCTGGGATATTGAAGTTCTGCAATTATTGGATGGCAGAATTACAGCCTTGATTCCTTACAGCACTATATTCTTTTTATGATCCTGCCACATGCATCCCTATGGGCAGGTTATGTTTTTTTAGTTTGTTTTTTTTTTAAGAACACAGTTCTACTCCAGCATGCATATGCAAATAGTATAATAAAATGACTGAAGTGCGCACACAACAATGGGGTCTTTAAAGGTAGAGAAGTGGACATGACACTGGGGTAACTTTTAAATATTTATAAAGTGCATTCTTCTCTGCTCCACTGAAAAGTAAATTTTGCTTTGTTCAACTATCCCCATGCTGGAACTTGGAGAAAGATATGTTGGGGATGGGACTTCTTGCTGAGCAAGAGAGTCTCCCAAAGCATCCCAAAGATTGATTGATTGATTGATTGATTGATTTAGGAGACTTCTATGCCGCCCCATTCGCCGAAGCCTCAGGGCAGCTCACAACCATAAGAAGTAAGGAGTCCTTCACACAGTGTGTGCTGCAGAATTCATGTCCACAAAACATGGCAACCGCTACCAATTTGGACAAGGTATGAAAGGGGATTGGCGTTCATGGAAGAGGAAGCCATCCGGGCTATTACCTCTAATGTCAGGGAAGTATGCCTGTGAGCATCAGTTGCTGGGGAACATGGATGGGCAGGAGGGTGCTGTTGCACTCATGCCTTGCTTGTGAATTTTCCATGTGGGTGGCTGTTTGGCCACTGTGTCAACAGAATGCCAGACAAGATGGACCGCAATCTGATCTAGCAGTGCTCTTCCTATGTTCCTAGATCAGTAGTTCATTGCTTGTTAGTCTTGTTCATTGAAGAGAATTTTAAAATGAATGTCTCGTTACTCACTTGTGCTTCAGTACAACAACAAAGTGATGGAAATTAGATCAAAGCCAGTGCAAACCCTCAGTTCAAATAGGAGAGATACAGAAATCCATGTGAGGTGAAGCCATAATGCTTTGTCCGACCTACCCATAGAAGTCTAGCTCCAGCTAAGGACTGGAGCCCAAGGCAAGCATCTGGGGAACCACAGCTCTGGGATCTCCAGAAAACTGCTGAGACCAAAGAGGTCAGTACTTGGGCTGGCAAACCCTGCTTTACCTCTGCAGTCAATTTTAATGTGTTTAAAATGCAAAACTGCACATGCTCAGAATATGTGACACTGGAAAGATTGTCTCCTCCCAGATACACCCACACAAACCCTAAGACAGTCTTTTTAGGTCCTTCTCCAGGTGGGCACACCAAATGAACTCATACAGAGAGCTAAGAGTATACTTAGAGTATACTAAGAAGAGGGTATTTTTCATTGTAGCATGCCACTTGCAGAATAACATTTACATTACAAAGGTGCCAGGCTCTGATGGATTACACCCGAGAGTACTTAGACAGTTAGCAGGGGTTCTCTCACGCCCACTGGCCTTCATTTTTGAGGCCTCGTGGAGAACGGGTGAAGTTCCAGAGGATTGGAGGGTGGCATCAGTAGCCCCAATTTTCAAAAAGGGTAGTAGAAGAGACATGGGGAATTACAGACCAGTTGGCCTTACGTCCATTGTAGGAAAAACAATGGAAAGGCTCATAACAGAGAGAAATCTAATGATGCTAGATAGGGAAGGGAGGCTGGCAGCCACACAACATGGCTTCCGCAATAACAGGTCCTGCCAGACAAACCTTGTGGAATTCTATGACAAGGTTTCGAGATGGCTAGATGGAGGGGATGCAGTGGATGTGGTATACCTGGACTTCAGCAAGGTCTTTAACAAAATGCCCCATGATATCCTGGTGGAGAAACTGAGGAGTTTTGGGATACACCAAAGCACTGTCTGGTGGATTAGGGCATGGTTGACTGACTGAAAGCAGAAGGCAACCATTAGCGGGGAATCATCGGGATGGCGGCAAGTAACAAGCGGGGTCCCCCAGGGCTCTGTCTTGGGGCCGATCCTATTTAATCTTTTAATTAATGACATGGAAGAAGGGGTGGGCAGTCTGCTGATCAGATTCGCAGACGATACAAAACTGGAGCAGTGACCACAGCTGAGGAGCAGGTACTCCAGATCCAAAAGGATCTGGACAGATTATGGAAGTTGGCTGGAGACAACAGGATGGCAATCAATGTGGATAAGTGCAAGGTCTTGCACTTGGGCCATAGGAATAGGTGTCATAAGTTGTCATGCCTAACGGCTTGACAGAGGTGTTGGCACGTGAGAGAGGGCCAGAAGCTCACAGTGAGAGTCAGGCATTGGAACAAGGGGATTTATACTTGGTGCCCAGGGCCCAAACAGCCCCTCTGCAGCCCAACTCTGAGGCTTCCGAGTGAGTAGCCTCCCCACACCCTAGCTCTGAGTTGTTTGAGCAAGCATCTTCCCTTCCTCTAGACTCTGAGGTGTTTGAACAAGTTGCCCCCCCCCCCGCCCCACCTCCTGACTCTGAAGTTGCTGGGCAGAGTCCTGGAGAACAGGAAGACATAACGGGAAATTTATGGAACGCTCAGCTCTGGAGAAGATTGCGGTGATTAGACCAATTGGGACGGCAGCAGATAAGTTTGTCCCACCCACGGACGGAAAGACGTGAGAGGAGATTGAGATCCACGTGACTTTTCCCCTCAGATTTCAGAAAGGAGGGGGCAACTGAGCTCATTGCCAGAGCTTATCTGTTGCATCGTAAATCTTGTACCGAACAGCAATAAAAGTCTTTAGTTTTATTGCCGACTGCTGTGTGAGTTAATTGGAGACATGAGTTACGGCCTCACGACATAAGTACAGGTTAGGGGACAAGCGGCTGGAGAGCAGCACTTGTGAAAGGGATCTTGGGGTGCTGGTTGACCGCAGGCTAAACATGAGTCAGCAGTGTGATGTGGTAGTCAAGATGGCGAACGCCTCCCTTGGTTGCATAGCCAGAAGTGTGGCTTCTAGATTGAGAGAGGTATTACTACCACTCTATACGACTCTGGTGCACCCACAACTGCAATATTGTGCTCAGTTTTGGACCCCTCATTACAGTAAGGATATAGCCAGGTTAGAGTCAGTGCAGCATAGGGCCACAAGGTTGGTGGCCGGTTTGCAGGGGATGCAATATGAGGCGAGACTGAGGGAACTGGGTCTCTTCAGCCTGGAGAAGAAGAGACTCAGAGGGGATATGTTGGCGACATACAGGTATGTGAGGGGATGTCACACGGAGATGGGCAGAGACCTGTTCTCCCCTGCAGAGGAAGGTAGGACGCGCTCCAATGGAGCAAAGCTCAGGGAGCCAAGGTTCCATTTGGATGCCAGGAAGCACTTCCTGACAGTCAGGACCCCGAGGGTGTGGAATGGGCTTCCACGAGAGGTCGTTGAGGCCCCATCGGTGCGGGTGTTCAAGGATAGGCTGGACGTCCACATGGTGGGCATGTCGTGAGCGGAGCTGGCTGGAACTGGGGGTCAGACAAGATGGCCCAGAAGGCTCCTTCTGACTCGCTCTGTTTCTATAACCTCCCCAGAGAGGTTCCACTTGTGTTTACACCAAGATCAGATGAAGACCTTTCAATTTCCCAGGCATTTTATTCTTTCATTTTCAGATGTCTTACAATCTGCTACTGTATTTTAAACCTTTGTACTGCTTTTGGTTTTTATTTTTATTTGGTTTGATATTGTAAACATTTCTATTCTGTTTTTTCATGGTGTGTTTTAGGGTTTTAATTGTTGTGGGCTTTCCGGAGAGTTTTCACTATTATGCAGTAGAGAGGTGTGATAATTTTTTTTTTCTTTCTCTTTCACCAAAGCTGGCAAACATTTTTGTTATTCTTTTGCTCCAACATATCACAGGTGTAGAAGCAGTTATACAGCATGGATTTGTGGTGTGAAGTTGGGAGATACACTAATGGTGTGCTTCACAAATGAAGCAATTCGTATAGCCCTTTAAAGTGCATAGCTCTCTAAAGCCCCATTAGGTCCAGGATCCATTACCTGGCTACACCATCAGTGTGGCACTGCAGTTCAGTTCAAAGAAGAAAAACCAGCTCCAAACTCTTTTCTTCAAACAGACAGGAGAGCAGCAGGGAGAAATTGCCTTCATTGTAAAAGTAACTGGAGGAAGCAGCTAGTGCAATAGCAACCCTGAACTTTTATCTCACTGAACTTATAAACTTCATTGTTTTCTCTGCTACATTTCCTGCACTTGCCATCTTTTGGTATCTTCTGAGCATGTTATCAATTTCCTGTGTATGTGCTGACATAAGATTTACATTCCCTATGTGTCATTATAATAAAAAAGGAGAGAAAACATAAATCAAATGGATTCTTTGTTAACCAGGTAAGGTAGTTTTGCTCTCTCAAAGCAAGCTTTCAAACGGTGTGCTGTTTCAAAAAACTGTCTGGAGTGCAGAGAGAGATTAAAACAGTCTGTTGAGTATACAAAAATTAATGGTGCTTCTGTCATGCCAATTTCAACTCTCTAAGGTTTTTTTCCAGCTGGACAGCTGCTGGCATTACTAATCAAAAGCCACTAGACAGCTTTGCTGTCTTTTTCTCTTTAACTTTGAGATGTTGAGGTTTTCTCTATAACGGATTTATTGTGTACTCATCATTCCCTATTCATAGTTCTTTATGGAGTGTTTAGACAATGTCACAACCATCCTGTTTTGCATCCATGTCTAACCAGCACTTTCAGGTAAGTGTTTTAAGAGCAGGGAAAATGCAGCATTGAACTGTGAAAGTGAAAAAAGTATAGTATCCTCTTGTGCATTTGTGCTCTTCTATTATAGCACAGTGCTACCTAAAGGTTACATAATGGGAACACAGGAAAGGAAATACTCTTCAAGTAGTGGTCAGATCTCAGTTCTGTGATGAAACCAAAAACAGATGAAGCAAATGAACAGCCTCATGTAAAAAAGCTCTTAATGTAATAAAAATCATGACAGAAGCAGCAGCAAAAAATCCCGGGAGGGATTACTAGTGGAAGGTGACACCATTTAAATTCCCTCTAAAATTTAGTGCATGAGGCAGAGCAACTGCACAATAAAATCCTCGGCTAGATGCTTCGTGGGATGCTTCCACATGTGCATTTAGTGTGAAATTTTCATGCTTTTGTTAATTTATTTTTTACAGAGCATATGCAGGTACATCCAGACAGAGGACTCCTAGTGATTCATTCAATTCTATACATCCAGAAAAAAGATGGTAGACATGATAAAAGCCTTGCCTGGGAACACCCCAGTACTGAACCCTGCAAAAGCAAATTTCTTACAAAAGGAAATTGCATATACAGGGGAAACCCAGGCTCAGGCTGACCCTCCCAGTGCTGGCAAAAGTTGCTCTTCCTTCCCCACAGCACGTGGCTAGACCAGGGCAAAGTTGTGAGGCAGTTTTTGTGGTTGAAGAACCAGCACCCACTTCTGTTTTAATGAGGGAAGCAAAGTGGATAACTTTGAAAGAAAGAACATGCCAACCACAACAACATCAGGAAATAAAGGTCACACAAAGCTAATGCTACTTAGCTTAGCAGTTTTCACGTTTGCCTGGCCTCTGAGGGTCTTTTCTCCCTTAATGGATTTTCTGCAGTATGAAAAAAGAAAAGAGCAGAAAGAGCAGTGAGAAAACACAGGGGAGTCATGAGTAGAGGGCAATGTCATATGGATCCTCAAAACTTTTGTGGATGAAGCAGGGCTATTGCAAATCAAAATCCTCCTCTGAAAACATTCTCCATTTATGCTCTGGTTCTTCCAAATCTTCCCAGTCTGAAGAATAGCACAATCTCCACAGGTTTCGATGTCCTTAGCCTTACCAATCTAACTTTTTAAATGGCAGTGTTACTGGCCAGATGAACCTATCACAAGTCATCACGAGTTTGGTATAATTTCTGCAGTGGTGGACACTATTTTATCACCCCTTTAAAATATTTTTAATTAGTGAAAAAACAGTCCCCCAGCTATCTTTAAACATATCTAAATATTAGTAAAAAGCCACTTCAGTAAAAGAGCATTTCACATAATAGCACTGTAATGTCACAGTGTGATAAGGGGGGAGAATATTTCTGGTCACCACCACCATGAACCATTGCTAAAATATTGGTGAATATTGGAGGCCTGTTTGTTTCTTTTAATTAGCATTGCAGCAGTGTAACAGTAGAGAGGAACAATTCTGTCCTGGAGGAGAGAAGATTGTGTGATGGAACACCTTCTTAGCACTTCCCATTCGCTGCAGCCCAGTCAGGAGAAGGGAGCTAGCAGCAAAATTGATCATTCCCTTTTCCATTAACTACAGTGGGAGTGAAAGAACCATTCTTGCACCAAGGCTGCCTTATTTTATGGCCAGTTTTGTAGATATGAGAGGAAATAAGGGGGTTTGGGGTCCTGAGGCTCCAACATGCCCCCAGGAAAAACCAATTTCCCCTACAAGACTATAAGAATACTATTGTCAGGACATCCATGGTAAGGAAGCCATCTGTGGACATGCCAAGGACAGAATACCTTCTTCTGCAGGTGTCTTGTTCTCAGACAACATAGCAGAATATGCAGTATTTTCTTGGGCCCCTTATCTGGCTGCTCAATGCAGCCTAAAGCTAATTTGGAAAAAACTAATAAATCCTCCTGTCCAGTCACTGCCATTTTAGCAATGCAATTAAAGGTGGTGATCAGAAAGGCCTCTTTTCCTATCTTTTTAAATAGCATGGTATTATAGGATTTTGTTCTACATGAGGCATTTATTGAAAACTTGCAATTCCAGACTCAGGGTAGTTTAAGTGATGTCAGCTTCTTTCAGGTGTTCCTATGGTTCTAAGCATTTCCATGGCTGTTTTCAGATTAAGGAAAGTGTGGTATTACCTGGCAAAGACTGGATTAACTGGAAAGGGAAGCTTGTATATTTTTGTTGTTCTACAGTCCACATTCTATTTGTTTAATGGAACATATAGCAAGGCAGAGAAAGAAAACCTGGGCAGGGGCATACATGTAAAAGAGTGGATCTTAATCCCACAAAGAATACAGAAGCAAAAGCCTCAGTAAAGGCGTGAGTGTCTTTCATTTAAGCCAGACATGTCCAAAGTCCGGCCCGGGGGCCAATTGCGGCCCGTTTTCAAATTTCGAGCGGCCCGCAGCCTCTTCTCCCCACCAGCTTAGCCTGTCACTCATCCCCGCTGGCCAGCGTTTTTCCCTTCACTGCACAGCGGTTCCCACAGCTGTCCCCTGCTGCCTCCTGCTCCTTCAAGGCTGGGGGTTATATTTCACCAGAAGATGGCAGTAGACTTGAGTCAGCACTCTCGCCGCGTGCCCCTTGTGACACCAGGCTTGTGTGCCCATTTCTAAAATGGCGACTTTAACTAAAAAAAGGAAAGTTGACAGTGAGGGCCGCCACTTTCAGGACAAGTGGAAATTGGAGTATTTTTTCACTGAAATATGAAACAACTGTGTCTCTTGCCTAATTTGCCAAGAGACTGTGGCTGTTTTCAAGGAATTCAAGAGGCACTACCAGATGAAACATGCTAACTACAACAAGCTAACTGGGAACAAACGCAGTGAAAAATTGAAGGAACTGGAAGCTGCTTTAATGGCACAGCAGTGCTTTTTCACAAGAGCCCGTGAGTCAAATGAAAATGCCACAAAGGCGAGCTATGAGGTGGCAACACTGATTGCCAAGCACTGCAAACCTTTTACTGAGGGTGAATTTATTAAAGACTGCGTGATGAAAATGGTGGAGAAAATTTGTCCTGAGAAGAAGCAAGAGTTTGCCAATGTTTGCCTGGCTTGTAACACTGTGGTACGGAGAACTGAAGACGTTTCATCTGATATTAAGAGACTGTTAGAGGCAAAAAGAGTGGAGTTTGACTTTTTTTCGTTAGCCTGTGACGAAAGCACGGATGCATCTGACACCGCTCAGTTATTGATTTTTTTGAGAGGAGTGGACAATGACATGAATGTGAGTGAAGAGCTACTTGACCTCCAGAGCCTTAAGGGCCAAACAAGAGGAACAGATTTATTTGTTTCTGTTTGTTCCGCCGTAGATGACATGAAACTACCGTGGAATAAAGTCACTGGGATTATTACGGATGGCGCACCTGCCGTGGCTGGCGAGCGAAGTGGATTATCAACCCTAATCTAACAAAGTCACCGAAGAAGGAGGCAAAGCTATAAAACTCCACTGTATTATTCACCAACAAGTTCTCTGTGCCAAACATCTGAAATATGATCATGTTATGAAACCGGTGATGAAGGCTATTAATTATATTCGCTCCAAAGCCCTGTGCCACCGCCAGTTTCAACAGTTTCTACTCGACATCCAGGCTGAATACGGAGATGTTGTGTATCACAGTGAGGTAAGATGGCTCAGTCGGGGGTCTGCACTGCAGCACTTCTACAGTCTTAGGGAGGAAATCAGACAATTCTTGGCAAAAAAGGGACAACCGATGCCAGAGCTATCTGATCTTGTTTGGCTGGCTGATTTTGGATTTTTAGTTGACATAACACGACATCTGAACGTGCTGAAGACGAGCCTTCAGGGGCAAAATGCAGTGGTAAGCCAACTGTATTCACATATCAAAGCCTTTGGGACCAAGCTGCTACTTTTCCAAAGGCACCTGTCACAAATGCAGCCCAATACCACACATTTCCCATCGCTGCAGGGAATAATGACCAGTTTTCCACAGAACAATATGAGTGTGCAAATAAGGAGGTATGAAGCAGACATCTCATCTCTGGCTGAGGAGTTTCAACAGTGCTTTCGGGATTTTGCAGATATTGAAAAGGAGATCACGCTTTTTTCATCTCCTTTCTCTGTGGACCCTGATGACGCTCCAGACCACCTGCAGCTGGAGCTCATTGAGCTGCAATGTGACACCGAGTGTCGCAATCGGAACCAACAGCTCCCTCTTGTCAACTTTTACCGCCAGCTGGATAAAGACAGGTTCCAAGAGATTTGAACATTTGCTAAGAAAATACTGAGCTTGTTTGGTTCAACATACTTGTGCGAGAAGACATTCTCGGTTATGAACATTAACAAGAACTGCGTGAGGACGAGACTAAGTGACTTTCACCTGCGTGACATCTTGAGCATCAAAACCACTGTTTTTGAGCCAGACCTGGCCTATATAATGCAGTCGAGATCTCAGTATCACCCTTCACATTAGTGCAGTTATTTGTTTAGTCTTTCATAAAATAGTTCATTTGCATTTAATGTTAATGGTTCA